CCATCTCCCCCCAACACCACCACAGCTACGAGCGCGCTCCGAGAGCTTGTTTACAAACATTGCGCTACTCGCGAGTGCATGCCCGAGACAAACATGAACGAACAGCATACCAGATGGCTAATAAACTTTCAGACACTTTCCTACAGCCGAAGAGACCTACACAACACTACAACTACTTACAGCGTGTGCACAAGAACCAGCGCCAGTACCACCAGCGACTGCCAACATACCATGATAATATTTCTCAATTTCTCGCGCGTGGAATTCCAACTATTTCTCATTTTATAAGCCATCCACAGCCCGGGGCCATGTTGCAGCAGCAGCAGCAGCCTTGGTGCACGAGACCAACGCCCGTAGCCGTAGCGTTTGTTATGGAAGACCAGCATCATTGCGCGCGCGATTTGTCCGCTTCCCGTGCGTACGGTGCGCTATGTCCTATTTACTGGCGGCTGGCGGTGCGTGTGGGTGGAAATGAAATCGGCGCGGGCAAGCAAAGCACACGAAACGCGCGCGCGGGCCTCACGGGAAAACTTAGAGGAAGGGGGACGCGACGCTCTATTTATAAGTTTGTTATGACTGGGCCCCCCCGCAAACGCGCGCTCGCGTCGTGTGTCAATTTTCGTCTTCGACACTTTCACTCACCAGGATGTGGATTCCGCTTTTAAAAATGCGTCCGTGACTGGGATGAGCTCCCAAGTCGTCGTCTAACTTTGGCACCCCGAGTCGATTATTCTATATATAAACGCGCACCCACCGTATGTCTTAAAGAAGGGAGCTTTAGACATGACATATTCCCGCTCGAGACTATAATCTGCGGCATATGTCAGTCTCCCCGCGTGAGTTATGCCCGCTTTCGAGAGGGTGCGGAAGTGTTGTTACATTTCACCGAGAATGTATTTTTACTCGCGTCCGGAGGAGCAGCACCCACAGACGCTGCAATTCGAGTTGGGTGCACACGCGCGCGCGCGAGGGCTATCTGCATAGATCAATTTCCCAGACGTGCGCGACACGTGCTCAATATATTTAGCATTGAAAGACAAACGATATTTCCTCAAGTAATGTCTTCCAGGCAGCGCACCCATCGAGCACCCAAAAGCGTCGTGTTATAAATACTACACCAAATTCCATTATACTCGTATATAAAAAATGTGACTAAAAATAATATAATAATCATAGTGTAAGTTTAAGGTCTTCCTCGTTAAACTACTGTTAATTTCGACCCGTGCGGGCCATCCGACAACGAAAAAGCTCATCTACGGCGCGACGGGCACGAGCCAGGTGGCCGGCAAACGATCATCCCATTTCCGGTCACGTGTTGCCGCTCGCGCGCGCGCGCGCCCGACAATCACCGTGTGGCACATGGCACACCGAGGTATACCTTAATTAACGTTATTATGTAACATCTTAAAAAGTGAAACGAACCAGCGCCTAATCACAGGCCAACAGATTTGCGCCTGCTGTTCGCTGAAAAACCTCGACATCGTGTCTGTTTCCTGCTCTTCTGTGCTCCCCTGGGGAGAGAAAGTTGTCTACATACACGCCAGCATCCTCAAATCTGCGGACCGGGCGCGTCTCTTGCACGTGCCCACATCACCTGCCGCGGTGTCTTTCTCCGCACCTGCCTCGGCGAATCGGGGCAGACAGCTGCAGGACGCAGCATACCGCCGCAGACAGATTTCAGCACCTGGTTGTATTGTACACGCGCGCGATAAGAAAAACCCAATCGGGATTGACTCGTGCCTAGCGAATGGCAAATACCTAGCGATACATAGCGCACGCGACCAACAATCGCAGCTGAAGCAAACAATACAATTCGCACATCTATGCCCGCAGGTCCAATATCAGGTAGTGTTTGTGTGGAGTGCGGGTGCGCACGGTACGCAAAAGGACAGATGCATCACCGATGGCGGCACGCGCCCAAACGGTGGTAATAATAAAAGCGTGGCGCAGCGCGCAAAATCTTTCACGGGCCCCGCGCAAGAAGCAATTCTTAAATTCTTAAACAATTTCTGAGCTTGTAAAAGCACTACAATACAGCAAGTCGAATGCTACGCAGCTGTCTTTCAGCTGTCGATCGCGTTTGACTGTGTGTTCAACATCTGGCGCGGCCTTCACTTTCGCACCCTTTTGCCTTTCCGATACTTTTACTCGCGTACACCTACGACAAGCCATCAATAAGCACCCTCTTCCCTCGTGCGACAAGTCATCGCTTGCCGACGATCCTCATCAACGCGCTAATTTTAACGACGAGCTAAATATACGCGCGTGCGCGCCCAACAAAGTCGCATAGCACCTCTAGGTGTGCAAGCCTACAAACAAAACCAAGCAGCAACAAAAAAAAAAAACACAGGCGAGCCATCGACATGTGCAGCAGGGCGCCTATAAATACGCATCCGCACGCATCAAGCATCAAACTGACACATGCACCTAATTACACTCAACATCTCATCTTCAGAAACAACAAAAACCGCCTCGCCCCACGCCCGTACCTGACATAATCAACACGTTCGTTCGCAACAATGTACCGAATGTATTTATAACAAAACGCCCACGCAGAGGGCGGATGTCGTGGCAGCCAGGAAGACGCTGCTGTCGGCGGGGTGTCAATGCACTCCGCGCGACAGGAAGAGCGATGGGGTAGGTTGCAGTAGACCGACATCGCGCAAGCTGCGAGCCAGCAACAAACTATCGTTAAAATCCATCCACCATCTACTACTATCCAGCGCGCAAACCAATGTGTGCCGCGGCGGCGCGCGTCCGTCCGGCGTGTTTCGCCTCGCACCCCAAACCCACCTGTCCCGGCAGATGTGCATTACTTCACCTCCCGGTTTCGTTGTTGTATTGCTTGCCAGTCCATTAAAGAACCCTCGCGTTTAATATCATCTATTCTCAAACCCAACATGCCGTTTGCAACCGCGAGATATCTCATCACGACAGAATAGAACAAACCAAACCCACTCCCTGCGTATTCTAGACAGCAGTAAATACGATGTGATGTATAATATGAAAAGTAAATAATTTTCCAAATTATATGCGCTTCCTTCGAATGTAATTGATTTTTAACAACACATATCAATATGTTTATACTCCATATAACTTTTACGACCGCATAACAACGTTTCTATTCCAACCCTAGACGATTTCGTGCGACCTACCCTGCTCCTAATGTCCTTAATGGCAAATTAATGCCCTAAATCTCACAACCCTTCTTCAATCGTGTAAAACTTCTTTTTAGCGGTAGTACGCGTGTAGAGTAAAACTATAGCATGTGTAGTAAAACAAGCCGAAGAGCGGCGATAAAGAAGAGGAACCGGTTTTCGGACCGCCGGACGCCGCATACCCATCGATATCGCGGCCGATTGGACGTTCGCGTATCCTTTATCTCTTGTTTCATTGAGAGCGAGCAAAGTGGGTGTACTCGCGACCGCCAATGAGCACCGCGCGCTCGATGTTGTTCTCCAGACCACCACACAAATTCCTCCGGCCGACTCGCGGCCTGTGTCGGACAACTTTTGTAAACAAAGTTGCCAAAGCAAAAATTAGAATACGTACGGCGCAATAACAACGAGTTTCAAGCCGATGAGGAAAGAAAGTTTGCCTTCCGCATCGAGTTCTTGTTACGCTGAATTTATTACAGCTACACACAACTCGAAAGCAGATTAAGGATCAAGGTTCGGCGCATGCGAAAAAAAAGGCGAGCAAGAAACACGTTGAAATTAGTTTCCCAGGGTGTCCCGTTCTGGAATCCGCCAAACAAGATGCGGCGCGGCATCATGGGAACGGCGCGTCGAAGCGAAAAGACAACTTTTATTTTCACGTGACTGGGACCCTATTCGAATTATGCGGATTAGCTTTTTCCAACCAACTTTGTTACCTTTCGGCTTCTTCCGACAAACGCCATATCACAAGAGGGGCAGCAACACACACGGCAATAGACGCACCGCTCTATTTACGAAATAAATCAAAACCAACCACCGTTTTATACCCCTCCGAATGAATAGTCACAAATTACAAAACAGGCTCGGGGATTAGTCATATACAGCCACAACGTACAGAAAAAAAGCTTCCAGAGAAAAGTAAACTTATTCATAGGTTAGAGGTGAAATGACTAGTCAGCTACTAGAACAAATGCCACGACCAAACTAGATGCGATGATTCAACCGAAATTACTCCACGAAATTATCCATTAATCCACTATGCTTCAGATGATTCAAAACTAAAATTCCAAATACGGCAATGTGCAACTTCCTGTTCGTGCAACAACAATAAATAAGTAAATGAATCACTTTGGTGATATTCATCATTTTAATTACGCACCCCTTCTCTCATAAAACAGCAAATCATACCCATCGTAATAAAAAAACCTGTCGGGCTGTCGGCATGTCGCCAATACGACGATGACAAGTAAAAAAATATCACCGAAAGAGACGAGATTGAAAGGGGTGCAATGCAGCGCGCCCGCCACTCGAAAAGTAGGTTGTTACCCCATCGGGTCGGCGGGTCAGCAACACCCTGCCGCCGAGTGCGATGACCTACGCGAGCTCAGAGACGCGGCAGGATCCAAATATACACCACTAGCCGATGATGTCATCTGACCCAAAATAATTCACGCGTAATTATGCAACACGCACGACGGCCAGACTGCTCCAGACAGGAATCACTACCAAACCGCGACAAATCTCTGAGCGCAAGTGTGTGCATATGCCTGCGCCTCTCTACATACAAGTTGCTGGCGACTATCGCTGGCGATGGCAGTTTTTCGTTTAGGGATATTTGCGAGGACGACACAAGGACTAAAATCCGTGTCGCGGCGACGCGTCTGGGCACGCCGACATGTGGGCGAGCTAAATTTGCATCGCGACGTCTATTTCCGAACGGTCGCGGCGCGGCGGCGCGCGTGAACCACCAATTTTCGGCACGCGGAATCACTACTAGCCCGTGTGTGACTCACGTGCTGCCGCCAAACACCTAAACATTTCAAGAAGAAGACATTTACTGACCTGTTGTAGACCTCCTCCGCCCAGGCGTACTTGGTGATGCGCTGCAGAGGCGTGAGTCCCTCATCTTCAATCTCCTCGGCTGCGGGACCGTCGCCCTGCTCGTACACTCCTGTAAACAATAACAAGCCAAACTGCATTACTTTAATCAGCGACATCGCCAAGGGGGTGCATAGGTGTTATGTGTGTAGGTGGATCAATCTTTATTCAAAGCGAGTCGCGGCGCGTCATTCATATTACACACACACACGCATATATCCAACACACCCGCGCGATAATCACGTCCACTACAAATCCTACTACAGGATCTACGCTTACTATAAAAGGCGTGCGCAACGCCATTCAAAAGTGAGCATTTTAAACGCCGATTTAATTGACCGCAACATTTTTGCATATACACAGTGTGTGTGTGGTGTCTCCCAACCGCTCAGTGTGCTGAAATTAATTTGCAGCATTTGAGCACGCCGTTGATTGAAATGGATCGAAATAGCCGTTACGTCGAGACTAGACGTACCGCTAGTTAGCGCTCTGTTGCGCCTAGCGGTGCGAAACCAATAAATTACATTTCACGCCGTTTAGAAAAGCGAAAGAAGATGAAGGCGGAAAAAACACACCAAGAGCGCAAAAATCGCAAAGTGTGGCGATGGCGAGACTGTCCGCCAGACGCCCGCAGAAGATTCTTTCTTCAAGTGCTTTGCTCCTCGCGCCAGCAAATCTCGGCAAAATACCGAAATTCAAATTCAATCAAAAGTTTCGAGTGTGAGCAGCAGCAGAAAGCGCGCGCGCGCTCGTGGACTAATTGGACATACTTTTGAAGTCGTTAATTAATACTCGACGCCCCGGCGGCACAAACGCAGCCGAGTAATCAAAGCAACGCGCGCGGCCGTGCGCTCCTCGGGGGAGAGCAAAGATTGAGTTAAGGGCTTTGGCGCGGCGACGGCGGCGGAGGCAGTGGCGCCGTCAGAAACTTGAAACTTCCGCGACAATAGAAATTGCGCCAATTGTGTGTTTGAAAGGGCGTTAAACAGACGATTACTGTCGATTCCCCAAAATGCCTCAAAATAAATGCCGCCTCATTAAAAACTTTCCGGCGTGTTATTTAAATAACCTTATTATTAGTTTTTATTCGCATTGTAGTCGATTGTTAAGGGAGGTGTCGCACACCGGTAGTAGTGTGGCGGCGCCCCCCAACAAGCACAAGATGATGGCACGAAATCGTTGAATGTGTAAGACGCGAATCGATATTTACGGCCGGCCTATCAAAAGCTTCGCGGCACACGCTCGCCGTCTCTGCGCCCACTACGCTCATCGCATCGCAACCCTTAATCCCCAACCACCAAACTGATAATTCACACTTAAAAAGTGAAAAAAAATTAATTTTAAAACTAAATTTTTGCGCTATGATTACGAAGGTATAAATATAAGTAGAAGATGGGTGCAGTTCAGTTTAATTACCATTCGGGGCCTCCTAAAGCGTAAAAGCTCGCCGCAAAGGTTGGTTTCAGGGCGCGGCGTGCCGCCACTCAACGCTCACAGGCACCACAACGCCGCTGCGACATTTCGCGCACTTTAAAAACTCTGCGAAATTTCGCACACTGCAGTAACAATACACCCACCACCACCATATCACCATACCTATGGTCGTCAACAATCGCTACCGGCATGGATTACGGATGAGCCCATCGTAATGTGCCACCCCTTTGCGCGACTTTCTCCAAACACCACGCGCATGAATATAACACGCCGCAAAATGTGCAAAAATGAACGACGCCGCGACGCAATTCGCCGCACGCACGCACGCACGCCGGCGGGCAAAAAGCAACCGTAGCCGCCGCCGGACACATCGGACATACGTCGCGTGCGCTGCGTCGGGTGTGGAGTTTCGTCAGTCCGTGTGCGCGATCGCCGTCGCCGCGCGGCATCGCGAGGGCGCCACCGGTCGACGACACAGCGTACGCCCATACTACACGACTACTATATAACCAACAACCAAAAGGGTGGTCGGACGGCGATGAGGGCGAGGGCCGACGCGCGGCTCCGCATACAGTGTGTCGCCTGCCGCCGGCGGCGAAGAATCGATAGGAAGCAGCGCTCCGCCGGGCGTGGTTTACCGCAGTTGCACGAATAAAATCTTCATTCAACCGTCCTCATCATCACCATCATTCCACGCATCATTCAAATATCAAGATTAACCCCCCAAACACCCATCATACCTCCTCACTTTTTCGCGCGAGTATTGCAGAGTTAAGCTGTGAGACAAACCGCTCAATAACTAAAAAAATATTATGATGAGGATACAATGAACGCAGCGCAGCGGATATCCCACGGAGCAAAGTTACTTACATCGCGCGAGCAAGAGACGCGCGCGTATTTACATATTGAATGAGCTCTCTCGTTCTCCGGAAGTGACACCCGTGTGCTTTATCTAACAATAAGTCGGAGCAATGTCAGACGCACGACGCAGCAACAGCAGGAGCAGCTTTTTATGAGATTGCCCGCGTTTACTACCATGTTGTACCGACTTCATTCAAAACATTTTATTCTCATTCATCGATTGACCAACGTGTCAAAATAACTTAATCGCAGGCCAATTACAGTCGAAATGATTATCGCAGACGCGCGAGCAGAGCGAGAGAAAAAAAAGTTATGAATTGAACATTGAATCAATGAATCAACTTTTAAAGTAAATACATATGAACGCGTTTTTTTTCGGCATAGCGTGCGCATGTTTTTTTTTCAAAAGTTAAACGCTGATTCTAATCGCGCGCGCTTGGTGAAACAAAGACCACAATAAAGCTCTCGGCTGCCGTATCATTATCATTCATAATTTTCATATCTCGTCATCTTGCGTCTTCTGTGGCTCTAATTTTAATTAATTAAACAACGCTCTGGGAAACGTCTCCAGTTTTTCGACTCGTACCACTTGTATATACACACATTTACGACTGGACGAAAAAAAAACAGAAACAGGCAAATCCCTTTTTACAAAGTAGAATAAATAATATTTTAATTAGTGGTAATTTAGCAGTTTCGTTGTCGAAATAAAATCGCTAACCGTTAGGGCATATAATAAAAAATAATTACTTTAATAAAAGTTAATAAACGTAACGAAACGTGTGTGTGCAGCGTGCCCGCCCATGTCTTCTGCGGCGCGCGTCTTCTAATAGCTCACACCGAGCGGCGGCATATTAGACACAACTGTGAACTGTGAGGCTCATAATGCAGGCGAATTAAATTCGACGGCGAGTAGAAGCCCGTTATACAATGGCAAACCCGTCATTATTATATTAAAAATTTCAGTTTTTTATGCGCAAAAATATCTGTGTGGTGTTTATGTGAGGACATATGGTATATAATGTTATGAATGCGCAGAAAGCGACAGAGTGGCGGATATGCTCGCGCATAGTAAGCGAATAGGCGGACGATGGGGTTTGAAAAGAAGCATGACGTCCATTGACCCATGCAACGCGCTCGGCACGCCGCGCAAGAAGAAAACACGTCCAAGAAGTTGGAAATGCTAAAAATTGCACATTGCAACATTGTTGCTGGAAAATGCAACCGAGAAGTTTTTCGGGTTTATTTTTACTTGCGGTGGACACACTGTAGGTGGTGGCACGCAGACGCGTAGCAATGTCGCCCGGTATCGGAATGGAATTTGTTTGTTTTTCGTGTGTCCGCCGCGTCCGTGTCGCAAGCGGCCGCGCGGCGGCTTGATAATTTTATCTATTGGCATTAGAATGGCTTTTTTCGAGAGCGCCGCGACGCAGCCTCGCTTAAAGCACTCGAACGCCGAAAAAGCGCGCCGCCGTTGCCGATTAAAAATAACACATCAATTTATTGCGTTTAGCAATCGAAGAGCGCGCGAGTTACATATCGCGCTTGACGTCAAAGAGACAGGCGCCGTCATTGAGCGCAACTACGCCGCACATATATGCAATGTGCGGCTGCTTTGGTGCAGCTAGAAAAGAAATGTGTGTATGATGAGAGGCTCACCGAACGGCATGATACCGCACTGTATGCGCTGCGGATGCGCGGCCACGGCGTAATACTCCACGGCGGGGCGGCATTCCCCGTCCATCGGGGCGCTGTCGCACTGACACACGGGGATGACGCCACACACAGCGAGCGCGACGACGTCGCCCGAAATACTAAGCGGACGCCGCGCGCCGCTCTGCTTGCCAAAACAAAACGCGGCGACCGCGTGCGCACGGCACGGCGCGGCGCAAAACAAACGTGTGAGATGATGACCAACTCACCTTCGTCGCAGTCGTCCAGACACTCGTCCTTGCCCAACGATTGATCTGCAACACAACAACGCACACAACATTAGACAGGGGGTCGGCGCGGCGCGCGTGTTGATGAAAAGCACCACGGCGCGGACACTCACCCGCCATTTTGTATCACTATCAAAACATAGCCGCTGCGGTAAAAAGGCACGTGATTCTCCACCCCGATCGGGCACTCGGACGGGCGGCTGATATTCTCACGCTGGCGCGCTGGCACCTGCCACTCAGCGCACACAAGTGGACGGTGGTCACAATTCACTGCCGCCACTGATTCATCACTTTGACGATTTTTTTACGGAACTTTTCTCTCGCAATCGGAATAATATGCGTGGTGTGTGCGCCTCGCGCGAGCGGACGACCTTGCGAACGAAAATGCTTTGGTTAGAAGCAGCGAGTGCCAACCTGCCGAAGGCAAATGTCACTGGTGGCGCCGCGCGGCGGGAAATTTCAAACTCAACGCGCCAAACCAACACTCACAACACGCATATTTATGAACATAATCAGCAAAAAAATAAACTAACACTGAAGGATACACCAAGGAATGTTTAAACAATCATCAATGACTCAACGCAGCCAATAAAACAATGTATAGAATCACCTAACTAGGAAACTACTCGAAATACCAAAGTAACTAAAAAAGTTACCAAAAAAACTTATCAATGCACTTCTTGTTTTAACAATAATAACAATTACTCTTTATATATATCTTTGAAAAATATTTTACAAATGATAAACATATTTATACACTTTTCTTTGCGTCCTAATAGTTATTCTCTTAAACATATAAAACCGAAGATAAATATTTTCTTTTTGCAATATACATATATACGTTTCTATGAAATATAAACTCCTCTTGACCCGCAATATGTAGTTTTAGTTGTGCCGTAGGCCAGAAACAAGCGATTCGATGTAAATTGGATAAAAGTAAAAGAAATGAACGGTTAAACTTGGTACTAAAAACTCTTTGTGAGCAATTTTTAAAACTAAACTGAGGATAAAATGTCGCTTAAAGCTGAGCTGACCGGAATGCCCGGAACGATGATTGTACTTACAGTGTCACGCCGATAATTCCTCGATGTACTTCCAAATCACGGCGCGACACATCGGACACTCGTTTAGCATATTCGCACACGATGTGCAGAAACCCCTATGAATAAAATTACAATTATTAACACCAAATTTTAATCTTTTTTGGTTAAAACTCACGAATGATTGCAAGGAATGAGTCGAACGGAAGCCTTCATATCGTAGCAAAGTGTGCAGCTGTCTTCACGTACGCTGTGCTGCCGCAGCAGCATAAGAAAAACATGGCGAGGCAAAACCTTTTTCTCGTCCGGTTCGAGTACGCCATGTTCGTTAAAAGTCGAGAACACGACACCGTCGGGCGGGTACTTGAACGGCTCCGAGCCGAAGTTGAATCGGCATTGCTGGAATGACATGAAGCTGGCAGCGGGAAAGAAACCAGACCTATCAAACAAATAGACAAGTTAGCCAACATAAATTTCACTAACCAATATAACAAAACTTTTCTAAACGCGGTTTTAAAAGTTTACTTACTTAGCCATACTGAACACCTGCGTGCTTGGTGGTAGTCCTACACCATTAACAGAAAAAACAAAACGCTGCTGTTCGAAATCTAATAAACATCCCAGCACATCACCGGGACTCCATCTCGCCAACGTCTGCGGCTCGGATTTAGCATTGTACCAAATCAACTTCCGGCAGCCATCATAAGCCAGCGAGTATTTATCGTCACCTATCCCATATCCTTCCTAGAATGTAATTATATTTATAAACACGATAAATCATGGAAATATTGATTTTTAACCGCTTACATGATTCAGAAAACTGCTATCTTTCGTCGCCCAACCGATTTGCATTACTCCGGGCGTAACAATAGTCACTTCATAATACCAAACGCCTGCATCCGCCTGCGCTGTGCAGCGCACACTCTCAAATGAGTAAGCGTCACACCGCGCCTCCAGCCCGTCGGCGGATATCTTCAGATACTCGCTCACGTCGCTCGTGTTCAACATCGCGTTAATCGGCGACATGTCGATGGCTAAATAGGTGAAGGTCCTTTCATTCATCACAACTGTAATAAAATTCATTTATACACATCATTACCGCATTAATGATTGTTCTGATTGATGTGGAATTTACTTACATAAATTGTCTAACGCCCACTGCGCGCAGAAACCAACCTGACGACGAACATAATGCGTCTCGTGACGCCATTCCTCCAGCAGTGCAATTGGGCACGGCTGTTGCATCTGGAGGCGTTTGACGATCGTCGATTTATTCACGCTTGTCTGAGCAAATTTCTCTAAGGCGATTAATGAAAATAATATCACATGTGGATCGGTTTCAAGTTCCTAGAAAACAAATATTATATTAAACATTACATTTTAACAAATTAGGTAAATATTTCAACACTTACTAAATTAGTTAACAAATAATCTAATGTATCGTCGGTCAAAATGCCTTGACTACTCGGCCCGGCAAGTTTCTCGGCGATGCAACCAAGAACAACGCAGATATTACGTTCACGAGGTGCTGTATCCCGACTGAGCAACGCACGGTCCTTAGATAAGTTAAACATCTTCGCCACGCGCTGCACACTCTCTCGTGATGGCAACGGGCAATCATCAAGTAGCAGTGTAATAACGGACGGGCCAAGTGGATCATGCATTGGGATGACATTCACCATTGATTTGACCACCTGAATCCAGCCTTCTTCATTGTCCGCGATGTTATGCAGACGCAGCATGGATTGTGGTGGTTCTTGTTCACTACAAACAAAAAACATGTTTTATTTGTTGTTTTTAATAGTAAATATTTAGCTTACTTGTCAACTAGTGTTCCAATACATCCAAGAGTCTGCAGCACCAGCTCGTCGACAGTCTCCGAGTCCGGACAGCCTTTCTCCTCGCCCTCGACGTGCCCACAGGCAGTGATACGTACATAGTGATTGGGCTGCGCCTCGGCGTTGGCGAGCGGCTGTGGTGACGGTGTCGGAATGTACGATTCACTCTGCTCACGCTTCTGCTTGCAGCAGCAGGCGCCCATAGCATTATCGGCGGTCGCGGTGGGTCTCCAGCTCGTCGCTGATGCTGCCGCGTAAACTTACGGGCATGCTGTGTCGCACTCCTTTCCCCAAATTAATCGGCCAGTTGTGTACACAAATAATTCAATTCTTATCTTCGGTTTGCTCTCAATAAACCCACTCCAATACTGAGAAGTTGTCTGTTATCTGTCAAGCAATTCACTGCTGATAATATTGATAAATAAACTATTTTTATATTGGGTCTTACGTTCAAGTTGTGTTGAATGCGTTGTAACGTAATAGGGTTAGTTCCAATTTCCTACTCGGTGATATATATTTCTCTGTTTACTTTTGGTCACTGGCTGCCTGCACCTACGGCGGTAACATTGCCATTCGTCGCTGTGTTCACCTCGTGAGCGGAGTTTGATTCCGTGTTTACATCGCGTTTTCTCGCCAACGAAGCGTAGTACAACCGCAGCGCACACGACGCACAACAAAACACGATCGTAAATCACATGACCTCGAGTGCGCAACAACGTATTTTCGCGCAAATCGTAAATAATTCTGGAATGTGCACTTGTTTGACAATCGCCAGCGGAGAAAACAAGGAAAATAACCAAGTTGCCTACTTTCAGTCTGGGACATACCTACTTTTACTGTTGGCAGCTCTGATTTGCAATTCTAGCGCCAATGACGGCAAGATTTAAAACTTGCTAACAAATTTAACATATGCAATCCAATATACACAACAATACCTTTGCATTTCAATTACTTGTTATTATTGTAACAATATGTAATTAGTACACACAAAAAGTAATAAAATGAGGAAGAATTTGCAGTAACAATGTAACTAAAATGTAGATAATTGCATAGTCTATTATCTTATTTGCAGTGTTTGTGCCTAAAATGTAATAAATGCCACCGTTTTACTGATAAGCAAATAAATTAGGACTACATTGTAATTATTCGCACATTTATTTGCAACAGTTGCGCCGCATACACATTCAAATACTCATAAATATATTCAAATGTATGTACTTCAAAAAATGCGTCAGAAAATATCCTCTGTAAAACTTAACGAGTTCAAAAAACATCCAAAAACTTACATGCATCGTTAAACATTACATGATTACTGATAATAGACAACAGTATTCCTTAACTATATTAATATTGTTTCGAATTAAGTTATATGTTTGAGCCGTCAAAATTTTCAGCAATATTCTAGACATTGAAATTTATTTCGAAATTTAAAATGGACGACTTTTCTTAAACTACACACAGTAAAAAGTTGTTTTTTCGTTGAATTAATCTAATCAGACTTTTACAGCGTTTATTTTGCATACGTACATTTTACGCGAGGACGGTTGCATTAGAACTGTGAGCTGTTGCAGGGATTGAAGCAGAGCTGGCGTGCAGGATCATGTTGCGAGGTGCAAACGTGTCGCAGGTAAGATTTTCTTTTTTGTGCACACGTCGTACATGGGATCGTAGGTTGTCTCTTCTTGCTGAACGATACGAGCAGTATGGACAGAGGTGTGGTTTTTCACCAGTGTGCATTCTTCGATGTTGAATTAACTAATGAAAAATAAAAAATTCAGTTTAGTAAATGTTTCAAAATGGATACCAAATTGTTTGGTGTAATATGGGTTGCAGACGTTAAGCCTAAATAAATATAAATTATATTTGGTTTAAATGCAAAAAAATCTATCGTTTAACTTTAATTACAAATAACTTATCATTCCAACTAAAAAAATCCCAGATTGTAAAAATTGTTACAAATAATTTTTTTTATATTCATAATTTTGCCGCAAATTGTTTTGAGTACCTAATTAATAACAGTGAAAAAAAATATTTCGTTGTTTTTAAATACTATCGATTGCAAAACGGTACTTAAAACATGAATGCAACGCATTTATCAAATAGGTACTAAAATTGATAGCATGCAAAAATGTCATTTGATCGTGAAAATATTTGGAATCTCATCGATCATTACTTCGTTAGGACATTTTTTCGTTGTTTATTAGCTACACAAAATAAAAGTATGTAAAATATGAACACTAATTATTTGTATTTGTAGAACTAAAAAAGAGGAATTTCCACTTACCTTTTTCATCTGCAATGTGCGGAATTTACACAAATCACAACAGAAATGTTTCCCACAGCGATGTTTGACCATATGTGCCATCAACAACGGCTCCGAATCACGATCCTTGCCACAAATCGGACAGGAAATTCTCGGATCGCCTTCGCTGTTCGTTGCCTGCTCGCAATCTTGTCGCAGATGTTTAAAGAAAGCTTTCTCAATTGTGCACGTATATGCGCAAGTCGGACATTTGTATTCTTCACGTGAATATCTTGAAGAAAGCAGTAAAAATATTTTACGATAAAAATAAATCGATTTTCAAAACTTTAAATTACAAACCTGGTCCGTTGAATGCGTCTCCTACTGTGTAATACCGTTGAACTCGGCGTTGTTGAGCGTTGATCATCACTTTTGCTCGAATCTGCGAGACTCACGTCATCTTGCGAATACCTTTCATTGTCAGGTTCGACTTCGACTTCGGAGGCGTCAGATTCATCATCCGAAATCGTCGCTTCGGACACGTCGCAATTCAATGCATTTTCCGAAGCGAACAAGTGCACACCTTGCATGAAGTATGTTGTTGGCAGGGCGCAAACACCCTCGGAATTTATATTCCTGTATATTGCGTTCGCCGCTATCAAATTACTCCACATCTTTATCAAATCCATGTTTTTATTGTCCATTAACAATATTAAAATTTTGTTGTTGTGTATTGTTACATATTTATGCTAAATTTTTATTTTGTAAGTAACGATCTTCACTAGAGTTATTATTTGTTTATTTTTGCACTAGGACATACGGGTTGCCGGCGCCGCGTACAACTGACGATCGCCAAATGTCGCGTTGTTGTTTATTTGTTCGTTGCGGCGACATTGTCGTCGATGGAAAAGCGGTGGAAATAAAGAAAACGTTTGGCGTTGCAACTTTTTGGTTGATTTTCATGATTGCGTTGCGCACGCCACACAAAAATCATAAAAAAAACTTTGAGTGTATTTGGTTGCATAACATTAAATCACTATGATCACATTGGACAATGTTAAGAATTTCAGTTAAAATGTGCAATAACTCAAACTTAGTATAAACAGTGATTAAATTTAGTAATTTTCAGTGAATTTGTTTCACTTGTAACGCGTTTAACTCCAATGAAACTATGTTTGTTAGTATGTTCAATACTGAATAGTTGGTTGCCTATAGTAAACGATTATCTACAAAAAAGTTGAACACGAAAATTGCGAATAATCCAGAAAGTTATTACGTTAGTTCACCTGTTTGGATGAATGATATCACAATATGTTTGTGTTTATCTCATCCTGTAACGATTTTACGTCATTTTGTTTGTTTGTTTCCCGTGTAGCATAAGAAAAGTGTCGCGACGTTAAAAATGTATGCGCGCATTGAATATGTGCATGAGTGAATAGTCGCCACCGCCGCCGCCGCCGACTCAATACGTTCATATGTAAATATATTCGCGTATTCGCGTGTATTATCCCAAAGTTTCCAAACAATTTGCCGCCGCTCGTCGAATGGGAATGTTATGAATCGATAAAAAGGATGTGGACGTATTGCGCATGCCTCACCTGTTGCCCCCCAAGCCCCAATCCTCACCACCATCGTTTCTAGCGCCGCCGCCACCGCCACCGAAGGGATGCTGGATGGGAGATGAATCTCTATAGTGAGCATCAACAGTACCAACAGACTGTTGGTCGTCGACAGTCGCTTGTTGCAAATCCCACCGAGTTATAGTTGATAATATTTGTGTCTTTTGTCATTTTACATTTATCTGATGATTAAAGTTTATAAAAAAGTTTAAAATATCAACGTAACACTCATTATTAATTAGTATTTGTATAGATTTACTCCTTTTTAGTTGGTTATTTTTGTTTTATAGTGAAAATAATGATTAGCAAGTAGTTATTAATAAAATAGTGAGAATGCAACAAAGGACGATATTGGGATGCAATTGGGCGCGCGGCGGTGAGGCAGGATCCGGCGTAGTGCGACGAGCGCATCCTGCATCCGGCGCCCAGTGGAACGTGCAGGTCGTCAGAGGGAAAGTCAATGGAAAATGTTTGTGGAACGCATGTAAAGCGCTCAGCATCGGATTATTGCTCATGTTGCTCGGTGGCGCTATGGCTACAATAGGTAAAATTAATCAGTGCATAGGCAACACTGTTCACACCAACAAACATAAAATTGAGGTTAGTATTTGACATCACCATTTGCTTTTAGGTTATTACGCAGATGATTTATCAATGGCGCATGAAGTGCGTGGTAATCATACAGTAAAAATAAAAAACGAATCACGCGGTTTCCATCTCAATAATTTATCATACGCTGGACCGATTGTGATGGGAGTTGGAGGTTAGTTCTAATTATTTATGTAAATTGTATTTCTCTTACTGTGGACTGAATTTGATTTCAATGTTTTTCAGTTGTTTCAATATTCTCTAAATGTTTTCAGTGTCACTTTGTTTACCTTGTTTACTTTGTTTACTTGATAGATGTCGCCACTCTGAGTGTCCGCCATTTTGCAAATGGAATTGAATTGAATCTTGATTTCAGTTTCGTTCTCTCGCGGCTTTAAATTCAGTCAAAATCTAAAACAAATATGAAATCGGCATCAAATATGAAAAATGAAAGGGTGAGAGTGTTATTCACTAGTGCTTATAATTTTTTTTATTTCAACTAAATTTATATTACATATATTTATCAAATAGATTTTTTATCTACATATTTAGATATTTGCGTATTACGTATTCGTATTGAGCTTTCGTACGGTTTGCTGCTAGTCTAATTAAATTCCAAGCATGCTATATATGAATTATTATAAATCGCTTCATTTTTTGATCCAACACTTAAAAAAACGTATGCAATTAGTGGCCATTCATTAAATTGTTTCCAAGAACACTTGTCGACGACCGACGACGACGTTTCGCACCAGGGCGTTCGAGGGTGTGTTGACTCTTGACATTTACACGCCGCGTAGGCAGTTGTTGCGAACCCCGAAGACAGAAAACATTCACATTTTCGCCAAACACAGCGAAAAACAATAAAAAACCCCAAATGACATTTACCATACTCGTACCTCCGACATTTTTTTCTACAATCGCTGAAAGTATAGGTATTGGCTTTGATTTTTATTATAGGAATGCGAACACACACACATTACCGCTTGGAGTTTTGGAATTTACATAATTTATGCTTATTGTTTGCCCCGTAGCGCCCGTTTGAGGTTAGATGCTTGCTAACAGACGATGGTTTTAGGTTTTATTGTCGTCGCCGCGTGTGTTATGACCTTCGAGGCGCGAGACTCCGCCGCCAAGGTTGTTCCAGCGCGACTTAAATCGGGTATCCACAAACATAACCTCAAATAATCAAAATCTAACCTCAATAAATTATTGTAACAGGAAGTGGTATACAGTGCACTCACCGACCAGTTACTGGTGACCGATCCGCACATGGATCCTTACGAACATCCGCTTCACAAACAGGAGTCACACCTCAACCCCCTCATCAGTCGTCGGATCGACGGGCAGTTACCCAATCGCTTGTGCAGTTCTCGAAAGGACTCGTAATTGACAGCGAGTGTCGAAAACCGGTGAATTTACTGCGCGTCTCACAGGTACCGTTAAAATTTAATCTCACCTATTCTACTTTCACTTCAGACAGACAATAAATAATTAATGCCAAGGTGAAGAATCAAGTTGGTGAAAACTCTGATTCTCACTTATTCATAATAAATTTGTCGTAAATTAGTAGCTATTATTTTCGACGAATTGAATAATCTAGAAAGTCAATTGAACGCGAAAATGTAGGTTTTCAGGGTAGTGGAAAGAGGTGCGGGCGAGGCAGGGGTGTCAACCCTTATCTACATTATTAATTAAGTCGCACGAAATCGAAAATAGGCCATTAATGTGTTAATAATTAGTGAGTAGCGAGTGAATGAGAAGCCGGGGATGACATTTGAATGGGGGATGAAAAGTTGTTAATTACCGCGTGTATATTGATTTTTAATTAAGTGTTTTTGAAAATTGATTAAAATTCATCACCGTAGGCATTTCAGCAGCGGATTTCATTTATTATTTTGGCATTTTCGCTGTTTTCTCAAATGTTAATAGATTCAGATGTTTTAAACAGTTAAATAATTTATGTAAAGGTTAAACGCGTACTTCCTGTAGGGTGCAACATGCATTTAACCCTCTTTAATGTCGCTTATTGATTTTCGTGTGCATTCATTATATCACCCAATACCGCAAATGTCCCCCAACTCACCGCAAACTTATTTTTAAATTATAGAATTCTATTAGCAAGTCACCCTCAGCCCCAGATCTGAGTGAACAAAAACCACCCCTGGTCCCAGTGCACAACGGCAGTAAAAAAACATCACCGAGTAACGATTCGTGTAAAGAAGATCCGCGGAGATGTAATGTTGCTACTGGAATGAAACAAGATGGCGGACGTAGGATGATTACTCCTTATGGGGCGCTAAACCCGAAATTATTACATCGGCACGCGTTATCAGTAGACGAAACTGCGCATACTTACAGGTAATTTAACTTTGAACGAATTTTGTCGCGTTGCATGTTTTGCTTATCAAGATGATATTTACGTTTGGTTTGTTTATAGGTTAAGTCATGAATCACTGCAGGGTACAGGCAGTCAGTGCTCGATGGCGTTGGATTTACATTTGGAGTGTCCGGTAACACTAAGAATCCGTGATCGTCGACGTAATCCGTTGAGACGACAGTGTAAGATCGAAGCGGAAGATGAAAAACACCTCCACGAACAAATCGCCAGGTCAAATTCGCATTCACCGCGCATGACGCACCAACATCGCACGAAGAGTAACGCGTCAGCTACAGGTACAGTAATATAACCTCACTTGAATGTTTAATTTATTAAAAGTTCACTTTTTTATATTTAAAAATGTTTGGTTGGTGATAGTTGGGGTTTGGGTGTTGGCGTGAGTGGTGTCGGTTCATTTTTGATCCTATCAATAACCGGAATCTGACCAGGTCCTTTAGTGTTAGGAATTTTGTGAGTTTTCGGCTTTGCCGTGAGCACTTCATCGATTATTCCGAATTTCTGCGCCTCGTGCGGGTTCATGAACTTGTCACGCTCCATGCTTTGTTCGATAACATCCAACGTCATACCGGTATGTTTCACATACAGTTCGTTAATCTGACGCTTTAATTTGATAATTTCCTCGGCTTGTATGAGGATATCAGTTGCTTGTCCCTGAGCACCACCTGATGGTTGATGAATCATTATTCTTGAGTTTGGTAGCGAATGTCTCATTCCTTTATCGAAATAAAAGCAAAATAAAAATTATTTCAAGGTTATTCAAAGGTCATTTTAGTACCTTTGCTTCCACCCGCCAGTAGTAATGACCCCATGCTGGATGCTTGACCAACACACCATGTAGCAACTGGCGGTTGAATAAACTGCATGGTATCATAAATCGCAAGCCCTGCGGTTACTACACCCCCAGGAGAATTGATGTATATATGAATCGGCTTGTGACTAGACTCAGATTGTAGAAATAATAATTGTGCGATGATGGTGGAGCTGATTTGATCGTTGATCGGTCCCATTAGGCAAACAATTCGTCCTTTCAGTAGTCTTGAATAAATATCGTAGGATCTCTCACCGCGACCGGTTTGTTCCACCACAATCGGTACAAAACCCAAATGTCTTTTTACTCTGTGACATAATGGCGGTGAAGATAATGATAAACTTGTCTTGAAAATTCTCGAACAAAGCATTATAATTTTTTATTGGATCTTTAACGACTAATTTTCAGTGATAAGTGGTTTTGATGTTTGTAGAATGTCATTTATGACATGTTTTATTTAGTGTCGGTTTTATGTTTAGGCAGTCCAGGCTTGTCGCCTTCTTCGACATTCTGCGGGCAGAGAAGAAGTTCCAATGCTTCGGATTGTACGCATCGTGCGCGAACAAGAAAACGAGATTGTCACCATCAACGCGGGCGATTGGAGCGCGCCATATCTTCGGATTCGCGGTTGACTGGAGTGCATCATAAGTGCCATCATCATCATCATCATCATGTTCATCCGCAGGTTTCTGTGGAGGAGGCCGTTGTTCCAGGCGCTTCAAGTTCTGATACTGATATTACTCATACAAGGAGTATACATCCAAAAATTTAAAAACATCAAAAAGTAAAAAAAAAATTGGTTGAATTCATTTGGAGTCAAAACGCAGGATAATCATTAGTTATTGTCGTTAATATTTGTTTTAACAGATGTGTAGAGACATGGTCTAAATTTTTAACCACTTTTTTCAAAAATAGACTGTTGATGCACAAAAAGTAAAAAAATAAAAACAGGTACTTTATAAATGCACTCACGCCAAATTTAGTAATATTAATTATAAAAAATAATATGAAAAAATGTTAGGTTACTAGATGAGTATTAAAAATGGTCTAAACTCAAAATGCAGTATTTGTACGTGTGATAGTTGACTGGTAAAATATTTTAGAGTATACAGAAATATTAAATATGTGCATAGCGTTTTTAGTAGATTTAAATAGATATAACTAAACGAATACAAATATAAAACGTTGTTAGATGATGTAAACACACACGTAAACAAAACTATATCACACACAAAAGCAAACAGAGAACAATGAATAACAGAAAATATTGAGAGTAATAAATTTCGATTTTTTAATGTGAGCCGAGGTGAAATTCTTTTTTTATTACAAGTTTATACAATTTTTACTGCGGTTTTACTGGGTTGCCAGGCAAATGGAAAATTTACATTTAATTCCATTGCAGAGTATGGTACTCTAATAAATGAAGATCGTTACAATGCGATAACCCCAATACCAGATTTTCACAAATTGCACATACTCGTACTTTTGGTTATTGTGACATTAAATTGTTTTGCGTTTTTGGATCATCGACCTCGATCTTCAGTTTTGTTCTCTAATTATAAGCACCGCCGAATTGGAAATTGGAACACAAATTTAAACTGGATTGTTGTTCTATTGAATTAGATCGATGTAATCAACACGTGGCATTTAATCGGCCAGGTGTAGTTAATTACAACCCGGGGAGTGATATTTTATGGGATTCAGGTGGCTACTCGTCCTAGAAATTCACACACTGCGCACTAGCACCCCCCGCAATAATGAGTTGTGAGTTGTAACTTATTCGGTTGTGGGCTGAGGCTCGGAAGTTTCGAGTAGGTCAGCATACAGATCGCATGTCGCTCGCCTGCCGCCACCACCACTTCCACTGCCACCCCCGGAGGCAGGTGTATAATAACGCCGAGGGTTGCCCACCGGCGACGAGTACGTGACGGGCAGTTCGCGTGGACGCTAACGCGACGACTTCAATTCAAAATCAACATCGGAGATATTCAGAAATATCAAGTTTAAACATAATTTTGTCTAAAATTATTTTTTATTTAAAGTAAAAGTGTAAAATGGGTTGTGCAAGTAGTAACCCTCTAGTGGAGGGTGGCAAAAACCTGATGGACAACGCCAAACATGCCACTGATAATGTTATAGGCATGGGTGAGAAAGCCATGAATGGTAAGTCAACAAATGTAACGAAAACTAATAAAACACTAACTACTATCAATCAACTCGATACTAAAATTGTTATTTTTATGCATGTACTTAACTTACTTAGTTTTTTCGCAACTAAAGTTATGAGTTTATATGAGTTGGTTGAGCAAATACAAAACTAATGTAGGACAACATAAATCACGTTTCGTAATCGCATTCGAATTGCCTACTTTCCTACAGACGCATTAACGTAGCGCTGGTTGCGTCGACGACCGGCGCCTCCACCATGACGCTCTATTGTTATTATTTTCCTTCGTTTCGCTTATTTTTTGCTCAACTCACCATTCGGTCGACATATTGTTCGCTTCTTTTGTGCACAACGATCGATTTTTCGCTCGCCACTAATTTCACTCGGAGAGTAAAAATATTACACTTGGTTTTAATAGCTTTCAAGCTTTCTTAGGGCAAAACAACCACGTATTTTTAAACTTAGCCCAAAAACAAAACATAAAACAATGAGATGATTGATCGTATTTCCACTGCTAACAAATTATACATAAATTGCATGTAAATTACGCTTCGACTTTGAATAATTGATCAACACCTTTTTGTGTTACACTATTTTAACCACTAAAGATCTAAAATAGTTTTTCTTGCAAAATTTCATCAATTTGCATGGCGTATACAATGTTTGTTTAAGAACTATTGTGGTTGAAGGACGTTCAACCTCTTTTGTTAGCAATGAGGATGTGGAGATATGCGTGTCCACTGGTGCGCCGCCATCTTGCACAACAAGTTGACGTCACGTTCCCAGCGTGTTCGCACGCGAATCACGCATTTTAATGCGTCGCTATCAACGACTATCAAGCTTTCAGGGGCTTTGAACCGCAAACACTTTCGTTTTAATTACTTGCGTTTCGGAAATACCTGGAAGCAAATCTTGATAATAACTATATCCAGCAAAAAATTGAAATATGAAAGTGAAAGTTCCCAGACGCGTTATTATTTTCTTTCGCTGTTTGTATTCATCGATATGTAAGCGTTTAGCACCAGAAATAGAAATTAGAACGAACGACGACAGCCACACACACGGGTGATATGAATTATAAATTTGAATTCGTGATCCGCGGTGAAGAAAATCGATGCGAGTCGCGAGAAAATATCGATGACGTTTGGACGTCATTGAAGTTCGCTGGAAATAAGTTACGAGCTTTTAATTCATTACGCATGCAACTAGTTTATGAGCATGACTAATTTTCACCTGTAAATCGGTAATTGTTTAATATTTCAAGTCCTTGAATATAAATGAGTAATATTCCAGAAATCTTTTACAATGTCAATAATTTTCTAAAACAAAATGGCGGCGTTATTAATAGCAGGTTCACGGCTGTTTACCAAGGTACACAAGTTTGCGTGAGTCTCGCGTTATTCATCATTGTTTGCCGGCCGTAAATCCGCCGTGAATTAAATATTTAATTATTATCAACAAGGAACGATCATGCAGCAAACAAAGCGGCTGTAGGATTTTATATGCATCATGGGAGAATTTGTTTGAATTGTTAGATCAACACAAACTGATATATAAATTGCTTCCGATTAGGTAGATGATGATAAAAACTACCACCACAGTCAATGACCTAAGAGATAAAAATGATTTCCTTGATATTTTAATGAATAAATCTAAAAATATTTCCGTTTTGACCTTGACTGCCAGTTGTCACTTATTTGCTGTTGATGTTTTGTGATTATGTTCAATGTAATCCTAAATTATGTGTGAATGAAACATGAATTGCTACCAGGAAAACGGAATCGATCGTTGGCGAGTAGGAAAGCGCGCGAAATGCATAATTAATAAATGTATTCTCGTCCTGAGCGCGATTAGCATTTCATTAAATTCACACCGATATTGTTGTTGGGTAGGTTATTTCGGGAACAAGTTAAAAATTTCACCGGGCGGAAAATAGCACTTAACGTCAGCGCGCAATTCAGCTGATCGTTAGCGAACGTCAGCAAAGTCTCATTTACATTTTTCTCTTTGTTTGCTCGAGTCGGCAACCTTCAAATGTTTTTTTTTTTATGGCGGTAATCAAGAAGATTTATAACAATTATGGTAATAATGTGTAAATGTATCAAAATAAAAATAACGTGGTTAGGGGTAAAATAAGTTAACCTTCAAATTATTCAAGAATTACAACAAAATGGCTCCCAAGTAAAATAAAAAATGTTTTTTAATTTTATTTCAGATGCAGGCGATGCAGTAAATACAGGAATAGATCATGTGAAACACGCAGTAGAGTCTGGTATCAACACAGCGCAAAATTCAATCGGGACAGTGGTTAACAATGTAGAAAATACTTTAGGTATTGCAAAGAACAAAGCGGAAGAAACGGCAACAATGGTAGGAGACAACGTGCAGGATATAAGCGCGAAAACAGGCGAGGTTGTAGAGGAAACTATCTCAGACGCAAAAACAGTACTAGCCTTTGAGGACGCCACCAACAAAATGGAAAACGAAATAAAAGAGCTCGAAAGCATGGAGGAAGAATCGGCGAAAAAATTAGACGCACTCAAGGATGAATTCGGCGAAACAGTGGAAGTGATGGAGACGAAAATGGAGGAAACGCTGCACATTGAGGATGTGGATGAGTCGTCTACGTCTGCGACGACAGATGGCCCTACGACCACCAGCGGAGAGGAATCGGGTGGAAAGGAGGAGTAAGTGTCATGTGAGTTACAATTAATAGAGTGGGTGTTTCTAATTGTTTGAAGAAAAAAAAATTGGAGTGTTTTTAAATTTAAAAAAAAATGAATTTGATGAAAATTTTCCCACGCGTTGCTGTTTTTGGGTGTTTTTTGAATGATTTTGAATGATAGACACATCTATTCACGTGTTTTTGTTTCGATCAGCCCGGTTATATTCACCCCATAGCACCTCCCACCACTCTGAACCACCATCAACCCCAACATCATTTCGAGAAGTCATTAAGAGCATTCCGAGGTAAGTGAAGGACGAGTACTAAATTTTTCGGCCTTCGTATGCTTGGTTGTATACATTAAACTAAAGTAGGAGCTACTAAAATGACTTTCAACTCACACTGTACATACCACACTTAATTTATGCTTCTTAATATATCCGCTAGATGTCGCTAAATGTCTACTTTAAAATAATTTCCAAATAAAAAAATTATTAATAAATTAATTTTAAAGGATACGCCGGCAGCCGACGCCATGGGAGGTGGCAGCGGACGCAATCCACAATCGTCGCGTTAGCATCGCCGCCATTGGCGCATTAGAAAACTACGTTGATGCAGGTGAAGATGCCGATGATGATGCTGATTTTGATGATCCGGACAACCCCAATGCTGAATACGATGTAGAGTCTAACAGTGATGCTCATACATCGCTGCTTTCCACAAGCATCTCAACCAGCACCACGTCAACACTCTCAACGAGCAGTGGTGCATTTGCCACTGCGCCCGGCGCCGCCACCCATACTTCGGACTTTTATGACACTTCTACAACCACCACCTCCTCCAAGGATTATCCCAGTGGAAATGCCACCGCTGATATTCTGCTCAGCGATACCATTTCGATCAAGTCTTACAAGAGTGAAATTTAATACAAATTTTAACGAATTTACTCGAACACATATTGTACATATTTTAAATCGAATTAATTTAAGTTGATGTTGTGATTTATGGTTAAAAAGTTTATCGATTATATATAGGTAATTATGTGTAGAATATTTTTATACTAAATTGGAATAGTATGCGTTGAAATTAACAGAACCAAAATTGTTTCAAATTTTGGAATATATCGCTTCATGATTAGATTGCACAAAATCAAAATTATATGTAATATTAATAAAATAAAGTTTAATTCTTTATAAAACGATGACTGAAGATTGATTTTTATTAAAGTCTTGTGCTTTGTGATTCTGTTTGCTGTTCTTCTTCTATTTCTTGACTTTCTTGACTGTCTTGACATGATATTAAAAATATACGCCCATCTAAGTCTTGTCTTGGCTCTTCACTTGTTTCTTCTTTGTTTAAACCCTGTACACTATTATTAAACACATAAATATAAGGATTAAAATGATTTTGGAGGATAAAAGGGAGAATTTTTAATATAGGCAACCAGTTATTCTTATAGATGCAAATGTACCTTGGGTTGCATATGTTTCTAAGTAGTCTTTAAGAAATAGTTTGATGTTTTGATGAAAAACGATTAGATGTGCTTCTCGTTTATTATTTCGATCATAAATCATCCAGCTAACATCACATCTCAAACTGACTCTGCATTGCGCCTTTGTTTCCTCGTTTATATTGTGTGGTTATTTCTTTTTGCTTTTTTGGGGAAATTTAATCTTATATAATATATCATATCATATTATTAAGGTTTGTTTACTTTAGTTTATAGCCAACTGAATACACATCATGATGACATTTATTATCGTTTACGTTTTACGTTTATTTTTATTGATTTTTGCATTAATTTCGAAACGATCGCAATCAAAAGATTAACCAAATCGTATTAGTTTATTGACCGTTATATAATAACTAGCTTTGAAACCTGTTTCGAAATAAATTCAAATTTATTTATTTCGTTTTTGTTCTGTTAGTGTACGAATTATTTACGTTGTGGGCGTTTTTATCTTATGTACAATATTAGTTAATAGCCATTAGGGTAGCAAGTTTAGGTTTTTGGTTTTACTTTTACTCCATTTCTCCATTTAGTTAGACACGTTTTGTTAAATTATGTTACAACATGCTCATGGTATACGATAAATAGACAAAAATAATTGCTATCGTTTGTTGTTTATGTTTTCCATGGATTTTAGTTCTTTTTTGCAGAGTTATAATGAAATGAATGTTTTTAATTCATATTTTCCTTTTCGGAACTTTTGGAATGTTTGTGTTGCGTTGTTTCAGTGTAGTTTACATTCGAATTTCGAACAGTTTAAAGCTTTTTTCTCCCTTCAAATTCGTTTCAAACAAACGAGCGTGCAATACATACTTTTGGCACGATTCAATCATATATAAATAATTGAGGAAACAAGTGGCAATTAATATTAATTAATAATACTTATAAATCTACTTTTGTACAGATTTTGCTTTTCACAAAAAATTTAAAAAAGAAAAACTTCATAAAAAACCTGCAAACACACATTTTATGCAACTTTGTGTTAATAGTAATCATAAGTTTTTCATTTTTTATCGTCGTGCGTCATTTGAAGCTGTTCCTTCACAGATTGACAGCTTGCCCGGACATTTACTAATCATTGATAATGATTCAATTATTATTAGAATGAAGATGAGTTCGAAGGGCAGCATTTTATTTGTCATGATTAATATTTACTCTAAGGGTGATAACTATGTACAATTTTCGGTTTGAAATTCTCATGACTTTGACATGTCTGCTCTCCCAGTTCGATAAATCGATTTCCAATCGTGTTCTATTATATAAAATTTCTTATACCAAAATAATTCGTGTTATTTCATGATTTTTTTTTCTTCTTCATCAATGCTCCAACTGTTTTACAAAGCACAGAGAATTACACTGACTATTCCGAAATGTTTACCAATCAATCGCTTAGAATATAAGCAAACAAATCAGAAACGCATTAAAGCTAAGTCTTATTTGAGTCATGTTGTATTTCCATGTATTTCCATTCATTTGCTTTCAATTTATAAATCTATGTTACCTGAGTGTGCACATAAGTATGGTCGCGCATGTTATGGCTAATCAGGATTGATTAGTAAACATTTCAATCAATTAAATTGTTTTAATGTGTCCAGCCTAACTGATTAAAAACGCTAATAATCTCTAAATGGCAAAACTGCGCGATTTATAACAAAATTTCTAACCAATTTTATAAATATCAATAAAATACATTTGAATCATCTTAGGAATAAAATGTAAAACATTTATAAAACTTTATTCGCGTTCGAGTTCATTCTTTTTTTAAATTGTTGATAACATTTTCAATGGTTCTACAATAATATAAGACACGTCATGTAATTGTAATCGTAACTAATCGCAACTAATTCGCGTTCATTAAATTCATCATCAAATTTTTTTTAAATGCGCCATCTTATGTTTTGAGTATATTTTAGGTTAGCTTACAGGATTATTTCCGACGTGTTTTAGTTGTTTTTGGCATGCGTTTAATGAGCGCGCGCGCAGTGAATAACATCAACAATTATATAACAAACAGCAACAACAGTGTATGTCTTATCATTTTCTCATCATTATCTTCATTTTTTTGGCTTGGGTTTTTCGTTTTGCTTTCTTTTTGTTATTTTATTTTATAGCAACAACAATATGTATAAACGTATATGGTATTTATATGTATATCATAGATTTTTTCCTCATTTGTAATCTCTATGAGGGGTTATGTTTTACTTATATCATTTGTTTGGCAATTGTTTCGACTATGAAACTATTTGGCAAACCGTTTTGTGGCGGGTCATAAGTTTAATTTATTGAGTTCCCTATGGTTCGTTAAACACAGCTGAAACTTTTGTCATCATTATTATTAATGTCGTTTAATTTGAAATTCAAATATACAGATGGCGTCACACGCTTTTATTACTGCTTGTTATTCATTATTTGCCTTCAAACTTTCTTCTACGTAATAAATTTATGAAGGTGTAATAAAATCTTGAGCCTAGTTGCAATAAAAGCAAAAAAAAACAACGAAGTTTTGCAATTTCACGTAGCAACTAAAAAGAAAGTAAAGTACGGTACACATTTATGGTTATGACACGGCCGATATTTACGATGTATGCTATAATCGTCAGAAAATCATCAAATAACGCCATCTGCTGGAAATTAAATAAAGTACTTAACTTGTTCTTAACGGTCAATTTCCCCCATGAACGTTTTCATGAGTTTACGGTTATTATTTAGTGATATTTACAGTCTGTTTCGTGATAAAACTGATTAGGCATAGTTTATGTCTATCGGGGTGCGTGTGTTCGATGGTGTTCTTGCGTGTGGCGTGACACTAGCGTGCGAGCGTCAGTCAGAAGAGTTTCTCGATCGGCGGCAGGCGGACGTCGCGCCGCTTGTCGCGTAGATAGTAGTTATCGACGTCGTAGTAGTGATGGTAACTTTCGGTGGCAAGTTTGCGCCCAATGCGTAAGCGTAGGCGGTGCATCGCCGCCGCCGTCGTCACCGTTTCAGCAGGCGCGACCGCCTGTGGTTTACGATGGCGTGGTGACGCCGGCGCTGATTTTGCACCTGTGCCTAACTCACCGAAACCGTCGCCTGGTGCGCTCAACGTCGATGGCGACGTCGGTGTCGTACTGGCACGCAACCGCACCACGTCTACCATCGAGTTGGTGCTGCTGCACTTTGTCGATGCGACCACCGCGTCGCGAGAAACTATCGGGCTCCATCACAGCACTGTCTCCATTTCCGCTATCTCCGTTCGCTGTCTACGAATTTTCAGTTTTGTGTGATTATATTAAACACACTGTATATTCATAACAAAGCACAATGCAAGAAATAAAATAATCGCACAAAATAAACGCAGAAAGCACATCTAAACGTAAGTAAATTTGCAACACAAAAGAATACATCACAATGTCGCCATTTTGATAGCACAAAACACGAACGCAATTCCAAAACAGTAGAAATTAGGGCACAAAAACTTAGTTAAAGTTAATTAAGCAAATAAATGTACTCGTAGACATAGATGTAAATGAAGATTCGGATGATGAATCTGGAGTTACTTACTTAAGATCGTCGGTGCTGCCGACGTTGTCGGAGGCGAGGCCGCGAAGACGCGCGCGCGCCTGCTCGCCAGACACGATGACGCTGCAATTATACAACACGCTAATTAGATACTGCAGCGGCGGCTGGGGTGCGGCAGCAGCAGCAGCGAATAGAAAGCCGAAGCGAGCAAATACACCGAGTCCTGCGAGTGTAGCTTGAGAGCTGCATGTCAATAATTGAATGCGACATTGTTAAATCAAATCAAATTTGTGTGGCAATGGAATTGTTTCTTGTTTCATTTGTGACTGTAGAGTCAATAATTAATTATTCAACTCATAGTAAGACATCAATTAACAAAACCTGCTTTGTTCGTAAATGTGATTAATTAATTTCTTTTAAAATTCAGTCTTCCTTTCAATTTTTAAATATAAAAAAATCTCCAACAATAAAATCTTGTTTGTTTCATCTCGTTTTGATCTTGTTCTTGGAAATCGTCGTTTTAACCGAATCAATGCTTTTTTACCCTCGTTGAACTCCCTTGACAATCGGGCTGTTCACATTTTTATGAAAAACCCAAACCTTATCGCACATTTTTTTATTATCCGCCGTCCTTTCGTATCGATATCCACATTAGATCATCCTTCCAACTTGTGAGGGTTATTCTCATCTTAGGAGAGAAAAAAAAAACGCAATAATGCGAGATAAAACGAACCTAATCGAAATATCCCGCAATATGTGAACTCTCAAGTCTCCGGATAACTTGTTTAACCTTTCAAAAATTGAGTCCTGCATCGCACCGAAGGTTTACCTTTCGTATCGTTAAAAAAAACAAACGCACGAAGGTCACTTTAAGGTCAAGTGAATTTCCCCCCGACATGAAAGACGCATCTCGCCGGCCGGTAAGTGCAATAATCCGCTTCCATTTCTATTCCACATCCACATCCGGCTTGATTTTTCCGTTTTTCCGCATTTCTTTTCCGGCGTTTTTTTTTCTCTTCTTTAGTTAGGTACCTACATTCACTTCTTCTCGAGGTAGATTTAAGAGAGGAGAGTTTAATGCATTTAGACGACATGATTACGCGTCTACTCATGTACTCGCTGTGTTCTTCACATCCCTTTTTCAGTTTACATCCGGTTTCTACATTTTCTTATTACAAGCATGATCGACGAGTAGGTGTAGGTACACACGCTTGCACAAAGAATGAGTTCTTCATTCTTCAGGTTCATACACAAGATAACGAGTATAAATTTTGTAGTCCTTTGAGCGTAGAACAGCGACCGGAAGAAGTAAGTACTGCGCGAGGATGTGCGATGAGATTGTCGAATACGTCGCTGTGTTTCGGAGTGTTTATGTCGGCACTTGGCACGATATGTCGCGTTTCATATTTAAACATCTCGCAGAGGGGTTGAGAAAATGTTCCCGGTGGAGAGATGAAAATCACTGCGCGTAAAGTTTTATAGTTAAACTAATGGATTCTCATGTAAGTATTTTTTAACAAAAACTTCTTTATGTAAAAAAATCACTATTTCATGTTTAATGACAGATTTGCTTTTTTTGGAAATTTCCAACTTGATTTAACTGCACTAATCATTTCATAAACCCCCAAGCACTCTGAAAGTGTGCAGAGTATCTACTTAACGAGCCATTAGACTTTAATTCGCAATTCACCTCGTAATTGGTGCACTTTGCACCCTCTTTTCCTCGTTAAATCAATAATAAAACATGAAATAACTGGTAATAACCTCAATTTTCAACTCAAACATTAAATGTCAGTGTCTTTGTGTGTTGGGTTGTGTTTTGTTTACATGCAAAATTGTAAGCACAATGCCTTCAGCACACAGACATACAGTGTGGTTAAAGAGACATTAAAACATTCAGAGCACGTAGAAAATTAAAGAAACACACAAAGATAGTATACATAGAGCACATCGAACACGTTCGGCTGGTGGCGGCTTGTGCTGTTTTTTTTTTTCAATCACTTACTCAGGCGAATGGGGCGGGCCAAGACAGGCCGTGAGGCAGGTGGGGCGGCGTGGCGGACGCTGCCTGCAACGTGCCGTATTTTGCGCGCGCGCACACAGAGAGTTCACAAAAGTTTCGTGTGGACAAGTGGACAAAAGACAAAAGACAAAACACAGTCAACAAATCGTGTCGGCACGACAATACAAGAGGGTGAGAAAAAACACGCACGCAACTTGAAAACTACGAAAAAGTAATAAAAAAGTTTAAAACTTTTTTTTGAAGTGTAGGTAAGCACATAACCTATAATAAGATCATTTTACAATCTACTAATCGCACATTAACTACAGTTTTCTGTAATTTTGTTATAATGTTAGACTAAGTTCATCATAGATGTCGGTGTGGACATCGGAAGGATAAGCTACACCGTGTGAATTAATTAATTAATTGCCGGACGAGGCCACGTCGCAGATTTCGGCGGTCGGGCGATAAACATCCAAAAGGGGATGATTTATTACCACGCATCTTTGGCCGACCGCACCGTTATCCGGGGCTTTAATCAACGCCACCAATACAGTGGCGCGCGAAGGATTAAAGGAGCCTAACGAGATGTGAAAGCAACATTCGAAATGAGCGATTTGCACACGGGTAAATATAATTTCCACTGTGCAAACATGAATGCTCAACTCTGAATCCTCATATTCAGAAACGATTCCAGATATTACTCTCGGAAGTCAAATGTACAATATTCCCGGAACTAATTTCATAAACTTTATAAATTTAAAAGCGTGAAATATTCGTAGAAAATATTAAATTGTGCGTACGAATGTAAAATTTGAGTGAAACTGTGCAGCCAATTAGATTACGATCAAAAAACAAGTAAAAAACCGTCTTAAAATCGACGTCAAAAGTGATCGTGTTCATTCTCATGCATTCCGAAATATTAAAATGAAAAATGATTAAATGTAATCACTTACCGTTTACAAGCTGGCGGTGGTTTCAGCCCGTGCGACTCCAGCTCCTTTTCCAGCTGTTTACAACGCATCTGCGAAATATCCAGCTCCCTCTTGACCTTCCACAGGTGCGTGTCGCAAATCGGATCGCGACATCGATGATTCCTCAAAATATCCTGCGCCTCAAAAACCGCCCCACGGAAAGTCAAACTTTTCCCCATCGATAAACTTATCAGCGCGCAACACCCTCCTCGGTCTGTTTTCGCTAGGTGTTTCCTCACGTATTTGAAATATAGCTGTTCCAAGAGTAGCAACAACGCAGCCAAGAGTATACCCGCCATTAAAAGCAGGAAAGCGGACAAGAATTGTTCCAGGGCGAGCGGGTCGGATGTTTTAACTTCCCTAGCACCCGGTTTACATGTGCCGGTCATCCAGTAACGACGCAGGCGTTCAAGGTCGCCGTTTTCTCGAAAGTCAAGCATCTTTTTGTTGAACATCTTGATGTATTTGGAATTTCGAGGGAAAGCAAGCCCGTATCCGGTCATGGCATACCATGAGCCCACTGTGAGCAAACGGCAGTCCTCGTCCTGTGCGGTGAGGTAGTCTAGGACGGTGCCATCATAGATAAACGCATCCATTTCACCAGTAAGAACAGCATCAACACCTTTTACAACTGTGGTCTTGTTGTATTTGCTCATATAGTTGTGCATTTCTTTGAAATACTTCGAAATGGTTGAATCCGTATGTGACCAGGGGATTGTACCGAATTTTATTAACGGTTTATGTGAAAACGGCCGAGATAAACGACTATCGTCCACACCTTTATATAAAAATACACAAAGGACGTAATATAAAATATTATTGAAAAAATAGCAGTGGTTTATTACCTGAGAACTCAAAATACTCTTCTCTGGTGATCATGAACGCGGCGAGGTTGGCAGTGTAGATGGCAAGAAAGACGACAGCAAACATGGCCCACACGTTAGTCATGAACCGTGCAGTGAAACCACGTGGCGAGTCAACATGTACAGCGGCTTGAAAGAGAACAGCCCACACCAGCCAATAGGTCCGGAAGAGTGAAAACCGATGTGATGCCGATGGCGTATTCTAGAGGAAAATATATTAATACTAAAAATGTGACCTCAACCGAAAAAAAGGCTAAAAGTATCAAGCTCTGAATAAAACCTGCAAACATGCTAACATTGCAAAAAGTTTAACGCATAAAAAATAAACGCGTCCACCGAAGTAGAATAACAATAAGGCAAAAGAAGAAAAAAGTGGCAAAAAGAGATGAAACAATTTTGGGCGGCCGGAAAGTGAGAAAAGTTTCATAATATTGCAATGTGAATAGGCTATACATATTTTTATCCAAAGTTTTTTTGTTATATAGAAAAAAAAAATTCTAAATTTAGACTTTGAAAGTTTCGTTTTGTTAAAATTTCATAAAAAGAATAAATTTCAAACACCGACCTGATTTAACGACAGTTTCATGTCGAATCCACTGGGTGAGAGCCATTCGAAGAGGAAAATCATAAAGGTCGCTGCCTGGATGGCCACAATGCCGACCAACATCCAAGAAGCGGCGTCAAAAGGTTCCAGAAAAGCAGTCGGCGAAATAATGCCAGTTCGCTTAGCAACTACAATGGCAATGCCTGTTTCCATGAAAGGAACGCTGAAATCAACCTGCAAAACAAATGCAAACAAAAATTCAGATACTTTGAACGTCAAATGACATATCCTTCAATTTCTGTGTTTCAAACTCGCTGTTAATCATGGCTCAATTGAAATACGATGTTGCCGACTACGACTTCTTTAATTTACTAACAAATGAATACTATACAAGAAAAAGGGTTGGCCGATCCACGTTCAGTCGACGACTTCTGTCAAAACCCGCGTTTCGCATCTCGCAGCGAACCGATTTTAGCGCGAAGCGAAAATTACGGAATCACAGCGAAATCGGTTACAAACGCGAGCCGAAGCAATATTGGTCGCGAAGAATGTATTTCATTTACTCAATGTTAATGGGTAATGGCGTCGATGGTCTCCCGCAAACAATACGAATAACATTCGTACTATCCGGATGTAAATATCCTTCAAGTAAACTTTAAACTTTTCCTGACTTATATTACTTTGCAGTTGTTTTCTTATTGGTTCGGTTCGTAACGATTTTATTCTTGTTGCTGCCAATCATTGAAGTTGAAGTGTTTATGGGCAAGTACTCAAAGCTGTCAAACGGTCAAATGTATAGAATGTCTCCACTTGCATACGGTTTGATTTTTAACCTTAAATTTTACAGTAAACTGGTTTTATATGATTTGTTATTTATTTTTTAGGCCTGTCAGTTATGAATTTCCTTTTTAACTACCTCTACGTTCCTATTTTAATGACCGAAGTGCCTTTATTTCTGCTTGCTGCTAATCGTTTTCTTATTCAACCAGATTTTATGTATGATTGTACGCACATCACTAATCCTGAAATGCGCCCTTATTGTTACGATCACAAAGTAAATGGTAGTTTAATTGATGACACGTGTGTACACTCGTATTTTTCTTTGAATTGTACAAAAAATGGACGTATTGCTTATGTGGCACAGTTTTATTTCTGGTAATTATATGTTGATATGAATTTTCAGCTATTAAAATGGCGGATTTTACATTTTAGGCGTGATTATTATGATTTCGACGCAACAATTACTCCGGAAGATAATACTTCATTGCCTATAATATTAGTATGTTGTGTATCTTGGTTTATCTTATTAAGTGTCGTTCTCGGGGGCATGAAATGTATAGAATGGGTATGTAGAAAACATAACCTCTAAATATTTTATTGCTTTTTATGATATTTTTTCAGCTTTTTGTGATAAGTTCCCTACTCTACTCTGCAATAATCTTCTCAATCTTCGTGATGGTCATCTATACAGATGGCGCCGATGAAGGTCTGCTACAACTGACTACTTTGAAAAAATGGCCGTCGTTCCGAACGTTCGGTATGATGGTCACGCTGACGACGATTAATCTCAAGCTCATTAGCCCGGTTGGACACATGACATTCGCGGCTTTCATCAACCCGAAGGACGAAAAACAGCACAAAACCGGTGCGTGTCTGTTTGTGGAACTTCTACATCTGCTCTGTGGAGTTGTGCACATTGTGATCGTGGCAATGATCGCCGGTGTGTTATCCACACTGTACGGTGTTGACAATGCAGTCGACATGTTTGTTCCACGTAATATAATCTAATTCAACCTAATATTTAAACTTAAATCATTTCATTAACATATTTAATAATTTTAGGTGCAGGAATGTATTATGCTATGCTCGTAGAATTCCTACACTATAAAAATGTATCGAACGTGTTTATCATCTCATATTTCATGTCACTTTGGTGCCTAGAAATGTCCAAACTAGCAATAGTGGTTCATTTTCAAATTATCAACTTGATAGACTTTTTTCCATCGGTTTTTCCGTATCAGAACTATGTTAAAGTCGCATGGGGATTGGTGTCATTCATTATTACCATCGCAATGAACAACAAAGTAATATAAAATATATAAGATAAAAGAAAAAAAAATTATCATTACGCAATTTGTTTTAGTACGCATTCTGGTTCCTGCCAACTTATCATATGGCAAATGTATGTTTCATCGAACCATTTCGACTGTGTGTTTTAAGTTTTATCTTGTTTTACGTCTACGGAATTAAACGAATCGAAGATGACTTTTTGTTTCAAACCGGAAGAAATGTCATCAAATTTTTAAAAGTCATCTGGCCGCTTTATCCATTGTTTTACGCGGTAAGCTATTTATATATTAATAATTTTAAAATATTTGTTTGTCCGCGTAATTCTTGTTTTTTTATTATTATTATTTTATAATACTTTATTTTTACGTGATTAATGAATTACAATTTTACTTTTGAGTATACATAAAATTTTGAGTTAACGAGAAACTAGTTTCCGACGATGCCCTCGAGATGAAACATGTAAACTCAAAGAAATTCATAATGTAATTCATAATCACGTAAAAATAAATTATAATAAAATTTAAAATATTCTCCAGACCTTGTTTTCCTCCATGGTTTATACATCGTTGAGCACACAAGAAGGTACTGGCTTTGAATTAGATATGCCTTATAATCATCGTCACATGATTATTGCCTGCGGATTGAGCATTTGCGCTATTTACATATACGGCGCTGGATGTTTAAATTACATATACATTCTCGGAGAAATTGGATCAAATACGGTAAAATATTATTAACTTCGTGTTAAATCGGCTTGACTTAAATTAGGTAAATTTCTTTTGTGTTTCAGTCAATGCCAAAATTAATAAAACCTGACTTTCATTGGGGCCCTCAAAATCCCAGCAGACGTCGAGAAAGGAAACAATTTGCTCCGCGGATTAAAATTCGAGCCTCACGAAACCGCATACGTCTGCAACGCTTTCGCAAGGATTCGATACGTCAAATGCACGAACAAGACATTGCTGAAGGCGTAAAACGTGGCCGATTGTTCATCGATTCGGACTTTTATACCAACTGCGCGCAAAGGATCAATACACAACCAGCGAAACCCACACGCAAAGAGATGCTATTATGAAAACATCATTTATTATATAAACTTACGACTGCTTCGCGTTCCGAGTTGATCATTAGCGAAGTCATCACCATATCCGTTTTGCGATTGACCAAATCCGCGATGAGACCGTTCCACTTCCCATTTGTATTGGTGCCCCAGCGGCCATCTTCAACACGCACCAGTTCATAGGTAAAACCCAGCTCCTCGGAGAACTTCTCCAGGAGATCGATGCAGAAACCCGAGCAACACTGGTAGAAACTTTCATTGCGGTGCGCCTGTGACATATCCACCCTGGAAACAAAGCAACAGTAAGTGCTACAAAAAGTTGATTCCCCGTGGGCGTAAAATCGTTCTTAAACTTTGTGTGGATAACGCGCCGAACAAGTTGAGAATAATAAATAACAAGGTTCATAAATTCAGCTCGATGTCGATGGATATCAACAAACATCATAAATACCTAAACTTTATTGCGAAATATTGTAAATATTTTGCTTAAAAGTCGGCGAAAAAATATATCTATATCAAAATGTAGCCGGTGGAAATTGGAAAAATCTAAATATACGCGTGTACGCACGAGTGAATTTAATTTATCGAGCACTTTATATTTGCAATAGCATAAAATCCAATTTTACGCATTCCATTTCGTTATTATCGCATCGATTTCAATCAACTTCGGACTATAGATAGATTAGATTGTTTCGTGATTGTTAAAGTTTCATTCAGCGCGGTTATCAAAGGTTATGTTAGGTTAAGCTGGATTTAATTAGTTTAATGTGCAACAACTCCCTCAACCAACAAGTCCAAGACTCACGAGTCACGGAGAATATCCGGTGGCCGATGCCGTTTTGGACACTTGGCCGCTGTGCGCGGCGCTAGAGCAACTTCTAATAAGACTAATTAGCAGCTACGGGCCATAAACTAACGCTGCTGCTCTTGGACATGTCGTCTAATTAATAGCGCCCTCTACGGGCAACATAACACTGCTCGAAAACTTCCGCCACGCGAAACAAAGCATAATTAAATTGGATAAACATAAACATATTGAGATCAATTGTGGGTTGGTGTGTTTTGTTTGCATTTGTGATTTAGTGTGACTTATCAGCAACGCCGGTAATGCTATCGGAATCGACATTGGCGCAATCCGACGTTTCCGACGCAGCGCGAAGACAACATCGGATGTAAGACGGTTTGCCACTAAGTCGGCGGTAAGCCCCTTTAACTTCTGCTGTCTCGATGCCGTGCGCTTGCCGCATGCCGGGTCAGGGCTGTTTGGATCGCTAAAGCCATCGGGGGCACGTATCCCACCCGAGATTTCAAATCTTAGCACACAAATGGATTTGTCATTGGAGTACAATACTCGTACGTTTGACGATTAGTCTCGCCTGTGAATCGCCAAAGCGTATAAAATAGCTACAAATTGAGGTTATGTTTGTTTCCTGGTATTTGTAGTGCAGCTAACAATTTGTTTACTTATTCTATTCATCTTATCACATAACACAAAAACCGCGCCGCGTCGGCAAGTTAACATTTCGCGATTTGGCGGTGACAACTTTCAGCTGGGCGTGTTTCGGTGAAGACAAACAACGCCGAAATCCATGGTATTGCATCGAATTGTGCGTCCGCTTCTCTTAAGTTGCGCCATTAATTTTACTTTGTCTACGTTTCGGGCTGGCGGCCGGCGGGGTGCACTCGAGTTACATCACGTACGCTGGTGCGTGGTGGAGGCGCCCGCTGAGCCACCCCCGATGTACATTAGCTGCTAGCGCGCAGGCAAAGGCGAAACCGAAACCGGCGCGCAAGCAAAGGCGAACGGCACGGAATGTGTGCTCGCTGATGTATAGAGCGCCGTGGCTTGGCGGCCGAAGCGGCCATGATAAATTGAATTAAACACAGTGAATCACATGTTGGAAAACATACATGGGCACATGAGATGCGTAAAAAGCAGATGGGCGTATGATCAAATAGCTTTGAAATTAGGTTATGCAAACAGCAATGAATTTGGTTATCATTATGCCATCTTAACTGTTGTCGCCACTGTGATTTTGGCATTTTGTGAAGCAAAAAATAATCCGCTTAGCATTTTTTATATTGCGAAAGAGAAGCTTACAGCACCCTAATTTTCAATTATTATCATTTGCTTCAATAAAGCAAAAATAATCCTTAAAAATATTCACGCTAACAAACATAAACAGCATGCTAAATATCTAATTAATGTAATTTGCGTTTATAATTTTATTTGCGTAGATATTTGATATCATTTAAGTAATAATTTACTAGTAGTTGAATTAATTAATAGCAGTTTTAGGCTCAATTTTGAGAATTGAAATGTCAATTTGCGGACTATGTATTTATGATTAATTATCAGAAGTGCTGAATTTGCAATGTAATTAATTAATAATTATCAAATTGCAGTTTCAACAGCGCATGCGCAATCAAATATTTAATACCTTCGCCCAATTAGCTTTTTAATTTTCAAATTATTTTAGTGTTATTATAACGTAGATAAACATTAATTAAATCACAATGTAGGTTAATTTGAAAGTAGATAATTTAAGCAATGAAAATGTTATTAATTCGACTCCACCCTAGCGTCTTTAGTGGATATCCCAGAATGTATGTCGCGAACTCAATTTATGCGCGCTCTCGTCGCCGTCGTCGCGTGCATGGCATTCACGAGCAGAAAGGAAATGAAGTATTTTCTTGAAGTTACATTCGGCGCATATCTTAAAGCATCTCCTTTGCTCACGTATTATCATACATTCAAAGCTGTGCAAACAAAAAGGCACAGCGAGGAATGAAAAAAACAGCGAAACAGAAAAAAATAATGCGGGAGTTGAAGATGATGTTGGATATTAAAACGAGGACATTGGCGGCGGTATGCAAAGAGAGGAAAAAATTCAAATGAGTAGAAAAACAAAGCGAAAGGGAGATGTGAAGGAATCGAAGTGGCGTTCCGCACGGAGAGATTAGCGGAATGTCGCTGTGTGTACTGCTGCGCAAAGTGACGTAACGCCGCGTAGTATGGGCCGGCCCCAAGCCGCCCCCCACCTGCCGACCGCCAGCTGCTGGCGGCGTCCGATCGATAGCGAATACTCGGATACGCTTGCATACTCAAACTCAAACATTGAATTTTACAAATGCAAACAATTACCTAACTTACGTGTATCTACTTGATAACTTTTTGTTAGAGTGAATAAAACGTAGTATTCAACTCAAACATTATAGACTTAATTAAACTCTAGTGAGTAATGATCATTATACACGATTTTTTTAACTGTTATGCAAAAATAATCAAAATTATCTAACAATAATCATGTTTCAAACATGACTAAATTTATAATCTAAATCATCCTCGTTATCTCGAGTAACAAACCGCACGGTATGATAGTGGAGAATCATCGCGTTAAGAGGCTTGCAACAAAAGCCATGCCAACAACGCTTGAGAGTAGCTAGCGCAGTAGCAGTTGATCCCTAATCGCAATCATAACAATCATGACAATAGCACAAGCAGTGAGATAACAGCTATGCTATTCCAACCGCGATCATACCCGAATCATAAATCCAGCTTTTCAAATCACTATCACAATTCAGAAAACTTAACTCGTTAATTTTGTGATCAAAAGTTGGCGTTGAATAAATACACAATACGTGCTGCTATGTATCGTGAATAATAATTTAATTAAACACGTATTTCATTAATTAAATTGCAGATTACGCCTACTTGTGCCTTGGCAGGAACAGAAGAGCATTTAAGTCGTCTTGTGCCACCCTCGATATAAGTTGTGAATACGACGTGCAAGTTTCGTTTGAAACTTTATACTCGAATTTTAACACAATTCGAACCGATTACAACTTCTGTAATGCGATTTATTCGCAACTTCCGAGTCATGCCGGCAGTCTGGTGCTCAATTAAAGAGCATTAACTTGTTTAAGACACATAAACTGTCTGTGTTTACTTACTCTTCCGACGATATTATTATCGACCTACGACAATAAGAATTATGGCCATATTGTTTCATAAATAAAGCTAGGTAAAATGCTCAATTTCAGCTTTAATAAATGAGAAATGCAAATAGTGCACTTTAAGAAAGCAGAAATTTTATGCAAATAAATGCAGCGCCATCTAAATTCAAATTAAATAACTAAAACTGATGAACTTCTATAGAAACTTTCATCCCTTATTTTACTCCTTATTAATTATAATACCGTAACCAAACTTTACAAGATTACCCGCCACATATCTGAAGATAAGATGAAAATTTCTTTCAAATTGATTCAGCCGTTTTGGAGTTTATAAGGAACATACATACATACATTTATAAATACAACACAAAATGTACAAAACAATTATTTGGTATTGATTTTAATTTGTTTTGTTTGTTCCTTGAAAAGTTACTGTCAGAGTGCTGGTTCGATTTGCATTCTATGCGAGTTTTCTCATCGAATGCGATGTCGTTTGCCGCGAGCGATTTTCCCATCCACATTTCGATCTATTCCTCCACGTGTGCAGCGTGTGCTAACAGGTATCGAAAGCCACACGCAACAAGCACCAGCGGCAATACATTCCAAAACCGCAAAGCGAATCGAATTGATGGAAATGCAAAGTTTCGGAACACAAGTGAAAACAGCAATTTCACACATTCGTAACTTGTTAATAACCGGTTGCATGAATAAGCATCAAATAAAAACGGCTTTAAACGATCATAACCTCAAATCAAACGTTAAATCCTATTTGTTTACGGCGAAACCTGCTGCGTGTAAATGTAAATATTGAATTGTTGGCTAGATTGCTAGAATGGTGTAAATTTGTGTAAATAACACGAATTGGGAATCGAAGTCTGCGCCAGCACAATATTCATTTATTCATTGCGGAATTAATTACGGCAACCAGCTTGTTGTTGTCGTTGCTTTGCTTGCGCTGGCCGATGTAATAAAATCGTATAGTATAATAGTCACATCTAGAGTTTGACGGCCGCATGAAAGCTGCGTTTATTGGTCATTTTATTTCCGCGTTTTGCAAACACAAACACCAGATACGTTTTACGACGCAATTAAGCAAACCGCAGTGCTTAGCGTAAAGTCGGCGCGCTATTCTTTACCGATTCCAAGACGTTCGAGAAGAATAAGTCGCAGAAGAACACGGCCTTTATGCGGATTCTTTTGTCCCGCTACATTAAGCAATTGCCATACGGAAGAAAAACAAAATAAACTTTGTTTAATCTGATGAGAGGTAATTTTGTTCACTTGGTTGCATAACTTTCTTTAAATACTTTCTATAAAAGTTGAATCTTTAGATTTTCAAAAGAGGAATAACATGAGGTGGCGGAATTTTATGTTATTGAGGACGTGAATAAAGAAATAATCGAGTCTGAGTGCCAACGGTGGAAACTTGGGATGCGCGGCTGCGAACGTGCGTGACCCGTGTGGCAGACGTGATCGCCATCTTTAAAATTCGTGTCAAGTTCGACGCGAGGAAAAATAAAATTTTTAAAGTTTAGTTAGCGAATAAAAGCAGTACGCTTCGTTGAAAGTAGTGTTTTCTTTGTAGATAATTACTTACTCCTTGATTTCTTTATCCGTAGCTACCCGACAGAGGACGCCTCGATCCATGGTGCACTTGCCGGTGACAGGATCGGGCGGCGCAAGATTGATGTACGGCGGCTCCTCGAGAAAAGTGATCTTCAGGTGGAATTTCTCGGGAACGCCCTGCGGCGGCGTGTGGCTATTGCCAGGCCAGACAATGTCCTTGATGTCGAGTCCTTCTCGCTGCCACGATTTCCAAGCACCGATCTGAAGCAACAAAAAATAACACACTGTTATTACACGCCTAAAAACACTTTTATTATTTCAAACATAATTATTATTTTATACAACACATAAAAAATAACAACATGCCTCCATTATTTTATTTATTTATTTAAATATGATGTAACCCTGTTTCATTTCACATTAGTAACCTAGAAAATGTGAAATGCGCTAGTTTCAGAAGTAAATTCGAAATGAATGCTAATTTAATGCTAAATGCACCACCCTAACAATTTCCTTTCTTACTGATAGCATCCCTAGATAGTTTGAGCAAGCCTGAAGGGCGTGCGAGATTCTCCTCTATTTAGTTCCGTCGTATACAGTTCTGTCCTGTACAGTTCTGGGTTTTGCGTTCAATATTTAAACGTTCGCTGCGAGAGAGTCGTAATACCGTCTTAAGCCATGATGAACGAGGCAATACTTCGGCTGAAAATGGAAAACGTTTCAAAGTTTCTCCACGGCGAACTAAGCAGCGGATAGTACGAATTGCTTAATCAGTTGGGCGCGATCTCAAAACGCAGCGAACTACGTTTTAATTATTACTAATATTAACTAAGAGGAATGGAAATTAGTGGAAAATTAAATTTTACAAATCATGACTGCATTTACCTAGAGAAACAGTTCAAATAGTCATAAATATTACAAAAATTCCGCAAAAAATATAAAATTTATGATAGAGAGAATAAAATTTCTTTCAAGATTAATATATAAATTATGCGTCATTTTTTCTCTGAAATTATTCATTCGCATAAGTTGTGCGCATATTTAACTCGCCGGGTTTGAGCCTAATGTGCGAATAATAAGTAGTTTTCAACTTACTGTCGTGCGCTTTGCACTCATCGCGAAATGGAAACGTCGTTAGCGATAAAAGTGCGCGCGCGTTTTATCCTTTGAAGTGCAAAGCACTCCTTTCGAACAGAGCTTTCGTCCTGCGAAGGCTCGTCAGTGAATACGCGTGTAACCCAAGGACTCAAGTGAGTACTTCATTTGAAGGCATTAGAGTAATGATGTTTTATTTCAAATCTTTAAAAAACCTCACTAATCTAACTTGATCTAAGGTAATTTAAGTTCAAGTAGAAGAAAATATAAAAATAAGTCATTTCAACCAAGAATTACTTAATGAAATGTGTTCATGTGCAAACTAAGGTTGATTGAATTTCAATCATCAATAATAAATCAAAATTCTCGTAGGAAATGTGAAGTATGTCTGGCACTCATGATTGTTTTTTTCATTTTGAACCGAAACTGGTCTATAACTTTGTAATGCAAAAAAATGTAAGATTTCTTTTTATTACTATTGGAAGCATCAAAATACGATTGTAATTGGAATTGCGCTGGCGTACGAGTACACTTTACGAGTTTCACGTTTCGCTTCATTTCTCATCAATCTTTTGCTGCGTTTACCGTAAAGATACGAAATAAACCGTCTGCCAGAAACTAACTGCTCGACTTCAAGTGCAAACTCGACGCCTCCGCCGCGCGAAACACAGAAAATTCCAACACTCGCGAGAGGAAACGCGAAGGAAATGCGAGGAAAGGAAACTCATCTAGCGTCTCTAGCGTGTAAAGTCACCAAGATAGATGCGTACGCATCGGGGTGGAAAAAAGGCGTATAACAACAAAACAACAAACGATCCACTGAAATGAAAACGAAACGAACGGAAATGTTGAATCTCGGCCATGATTAATGAACACCGAATAACTACAAATAGCAGCGCATTAAGTAGCTATTAATTTCGGGTGTGAAATTTTATTTCGGTAAATAAAATTTGTGAAGCGCAAGTCAGCGTGTGATATGCGCCGACACGCTATTGGAAAATATCTGCCAGGCGCGGTCGGTTATCGACATCGTGGCACACGCTTTTGAGTTCCGCACGACCCGGAGCTAATTTTCCGCATTTTCCGCATTCCGACCGTTCCGGCTCGTCGTGCCGTCCGTTTATCTTTTCGCCGAGCGCAAATGTTTCTTTCGCCCTCCACAGGCCATTTAACTTGGCCCACGCGCGCGCGCCACCTACCCAAACGTCGCGCCCCATATCATCCGCGTTCGGGTCAGGATTAAGCAAACGCAATTACTGTTTAATTCACTGCCGGAGTCGTCTCGGGTTTGCTTTATAATTTCGATCCTAATCGTTTCGGGATATATATTCGCCAGCAACGGCGTGAAAACTGAAGATAACCAGAAGTCACGTGACGAAAAACAAATTACCCCACAACTAGTGCCATCTATATTTCACTAAACTAGTTAAAAATATATATTTCTATATAGTACCTCTTCCCAGACGAGTTGTTTGCTTACGCCTGGGCGTAAATTCATGATTTTCAACTCCGACGCCCTCAAAACGCCGTCCTGAGTGAATTCGACGTTCGGCTTTCCGGTATCAGCTTCCACGCTGACATTGCGCAGATATTTGTAGAAGCGATCGCCGGTGTCCCATCGTGCTGCACCAGCACCCTCGCAACTCAATTGTGTGTTCAACGATCGTCCATGATTCTTCGGATCGTTGGTGTAGTCTTCGACGCCGTAGGCGTACACTTTGATAGCAGTTGTTATCTCGTTTACGAGGCTTGAACTAGATGTGTCAAAATGTACACCTGCAAATTAAGATAAAGACAAATAACTATTAGTAAAATTGTGTTCGACACTTATACTGTAATTCAAATATTGATTTAACCTAAATATTTTTATTTTGCTGCGATGATGATATAATAGTTCGCAAGTGCAAAGTGCACCAGGGAAAACTTTAATCAAGTCAATAAAAGCAGCGCTCCGATGCCAGAAACACTGGCCGCAGGAAAGTTTTAATTAGTTGCGCGAATGTGCACCACGTCGCGCCCATTTTCCACCGAGTGCACAACGTAATATGTAAATCACGTTAAAAACATTAAAAAAAGTCACAAAAGCATTTTTACACTTATACGTGAAACAGTACAAAACATGTAACGCCACCTATGAGTCAATAGTTGTTAAGTACTCTATAACATGCTTTTTTCAAGTGTACACTTGTTGTCGTTGAGTACGTGCGAAATTCATGTCACATATGTTTACTGCTCAAGCGCTTCCAGCGTTCTGTGAAGTGTAGCACACAGGAAAATCAATTATGCCGTTTAATTAGCGACTCTCGTCTGCGCGACGCGCGGAGGCGCTCAATTAAAACGAAACTCATCGATTGCCCGCCAGGATCACAATCAAAACCCAAAACTCCCGAATTGCAACGCATATCTCTACCTATATATGCTACTAGAGTGTTCAAACACACGCAGACACCAATCAGTCGCATCAATCAATTTCTATGGATACATCAGTCATGTCGAGCATTAGTAAAAAAAAGCCGGAAACATGTTTTTCAGTATGGAATAAATATTTAAGTAAGTAGCGGCACGCCATCTATCAACGCATAGCTCTTTTATTAATAAGCCGACTAGGAGATACAAGTTTTGACAGCTGTCAAGAAAAAACTAAGCGTGCGGCGCGTGTTGATAGAGTGTCTTGTCGATGACCGATTTCTTTCTCGCGTGTTTTTTTTTCGCTTTCGATTTGGGTGAAGACACGCACTTGTTTGATGTTGTGGATTGGTGATGTCAGGGCGATGCGTCATCAATAATGTACAAGCTGTGGGTTGACGGTGTCTTTTTTTGGACGCCTGGCTCAAGGGGCAATGACGTGTTGTGCCTTAAAAGCTTTTCGCGTATTTCGAGAAAAAAAAACAACACATTTCAAGCGTTGAAATTTTGATAAATTAAAGGAGATCGCAGATAAGACAGAGAATGTGTTTCAATGTGAAAGAAATTTAATTGAATTTTTTATTCAAACATGAAACGTCAAAATAAATTGAAATCTGATTAAATACTCCAATCACGATGGCCTCTCACCTTTGGCAAAAGCGAAACTATCAGTATAATAGCTTATCATTACCAAAGATCTATCAGACTCCGGAAAGGGTTAAATTATCAGTAATTAACCTCAATATCCGAGCTGATTCTAAATCATTCGCAACCCAAAACTCAAATGTCAATATCCATGCAAATATATTGCAGGTGATTAAATATAGATGGCGCAATTAAAATTATACCGTGGAAGCGAAATTAAAACCAAACTGCCGGGCAAAACAATTTATGAAAATTAAATACGCTCGATTTGCATTAAGCGCCCCGCCGAAAATTGCATTCCATTATAATACGCAGAAATTTTAAACGATAATTATTGTTATAATCAAATTAATATCGTATAGCCAAGTGGGCAATAATTTGTCATCCACAATTAATGATCGCCGCATATTTTGGGTCGAATATTGGCATATTGACAACGGAATGAGCCCGGATCGCTGAATGAAATAGATAATTGGGGAATTTGAACAATGCGCAATGCAACGCACCGCAATGACTGGCATGCTATGTGCGTATTAATGAAGTCGTAGCAGCGATTTGTGGTGCGCGTGCAAACGTTTTGATTAGCCTTTGAGCTTTAGAAAGCACTCAGGTGACATTTGATGTATGATGACCACCATTGATCTCACTCATGATAATTTCATGATAACTTGTGTAATATATTAGTAATTAATCGACGTAATGTTAAAAAATTTGTTTTAAAAACATATAAAGCTTATAATTTGCAAACTTAAACTTAAGTTATGTGGGTTAACATTTCAGTAATTTAACCACTTCACACCGCAACCGCAACTCGAAACTAAATTATTATAAAACGCGTTCAAGTAGTAACCGCCGCGGTACACAAACTTTACGTCGGGAGTTTGCAGTAAATTTCAAAAGCGTTTCATTACCGGTACGTGTATACCACGTAAATGCTCGTCTGTGTAATATAGAATTTTAGAACTAGCAAATATAATATCTTGCGATGAGACAATTTGTACACTCGATGAAATGAATAGCGCAGATTTAGTTCTTGCAGTTGCATATAAATTTAATATGATTTCGAGGTTTTCATGGTATGTGACTAAAGATACACTCATAATATATTATATTATATATAGTATTATCAAAAAAATAATTAGTTTACGCTCAGCCAAGCGAAGAATTCATCAATTTCAATTCCGCGTTGTCTTACTTGCCATTTAGAGTAATTTCTATAGTCACGCACAATGCGGCGCAACAGAAACGGCCGAAAAATAATTAAGGAAAAGTCCGCGCCGAGTTATACCCATTCTGATACGCATGGACGCACAAAATATTTATATCTCTGAGCAAGGATAGATAACACTCCGGGGTGGTTAGCGGGTAATTAATGGCGGATTTAATTGCTTGCGTAAAACATCAACACTGATGACTGACACATTTTTCATTCCAAAAAAATTCATTTCAAGAAAATCTAATTTCGAAAATTAAGAACTACGTAAATATAGATGGCGTAAGTTGATAACATAATAGAAAATTATTATCAGTGGTAAGCTGGTGTATTATTAAGTAATTAATTTTGTATAGTGTGTTCGAAAATTAAATCAAATGCGTTAAGTTTTAATCGCCGCTTTCACGAAAAGTCATCATGTGTAACGATGACGCGCTCGCCAACATTAAGCTGAAATTATAATTAGAGCAAAAACTTGCGCACCTCTGATGCTTGAGAGCCTGCCAGCGACGCGTCCAACCACGAAACGTTCATTATACTTGCTTCCGACCAAAACCACCCCAATGCTATTAACATTGACGCCACAAGGGTTCACGTCATTGACACGGCTAGCTTACAGAATAACAAGGACAACAACAAGAGCGACTTAAACTCGAGATGATTACTTTTTATTGCACATCACGACGTGGAATAAATCCTAAACAATTTCCGAAAACATCATTCTTAATTATTTCGCCATTCGTTCGCAATATTTTGCGAATAATTAAAACATTTTCTTTATATTCTCTGACACTAATTAAAACTTCTTCGGAGCGTTTTGTTCCACGCTCGTAAAATAGATTAATTTCGAAAACGAAACCATTTTGTTCAGACTGAAGAAGAAATAAAGACAAGGTTGTTTAATTACACGTTTAATTACAATTTGAATATTTATAACGTTGATTTTTTTGTGTTTAATATGCGAAGATGTTAGATTAGCTTTCGACTATCATGTATCAGCCAAGGGTACTGATTAATTCAGTCAGTTTTTGTCGCTTTTTGTAAAGTGTAAGATTAATTTATATGCAAATCTACTCGGTGAAAAGGATGCAAATTTATAAAATAATGAGATTATATATTTTATATATCGTCAATAAATGTATATTTTACAGCCTAGGAGTGTGTAAATTTAAAATATACATTTTTTGCACTCATTATTCAATATGCTATTTTATGATCCGTAAAAATATTTTTCTAGCAGATTAGCCTGCGTCTGAGGGTTCCAATTTGCCCGTAACACATTATCCAAAAAAAAGCAGAAAAAATGTCAACGTCAAAGGTGCGGTAAAGGTGCGGCGGCTTGCCGCCGGCTGTTTTTCCACCTCGCCGTCCTGTCACTGCACGTGCGTTCGCGCTGTTTATACCAGCCGGCGGCGGCGTGGAGACGACAGAGTGCGTTAGCATCCGCCGAACGTGTGACGCATAACTCTGCGTCATCGAAACAAATGTTTGCTCGTTTCGCTCATTTTGCTATATCGACGAGATGTTGATAAAGGAGATGAGAGCCGAGAGCCGGCGATTGGGGTGATAAAGGTGATAAAGGTGATGGCAATGCGGGTAGATTTGGCTTCCGTCGATGTTTCTCCGGTGACAAATTGATGGAAATTGGATGGGAAATAATGAAGGTAGTGATAAGAAATGAGATGCAGAAAAAATTGCTCGCTGAACTTAATCAAAACGAAATTTGACAAAGTGAGATAAAGCAGGAAGTAATACGTGGCGGAGAAAAAATTGAACCGTAAATTTATAAAAGTTAAAACCATGTCATATAACTTTTTATAAGGGTTACGTTACCTAAAACAAGTAGTAAACCTTTTTGCGTGTCGTAATTCGTAAGTGTACGGGTAAATATTTGCTAAATTATTTCATACGGTGGTGGTTTATTGAATAGGGGTGGTTTTTGCAAATAATGTTCGACCTATTTTCGTCGGCCAGATGCGCTCCGCCGGGTTGGCGTTGTCGACTCGCCGCAACAACGTTCTGACGCTGCGGCGCATTCTTTGCTCGCCGCCTCCAACGTCACTGCCGCCACCGCCACCGCTATCGATGTGCGCGCTCAACACGTTCGGCGCTGGCGAGCGTGCACCAGAAAGGGTGTGGCATGCTTGTTTTCAAAAAGGGCGGCGGCGGCAATGCTGGCGGCAACTCTGCCGCCCTCAATTTACTCATTAGCCTTATTATTTATATATTAAAAGAATTTAATTTTAATTATTATTTTTTTAAATATGAAAAAACAATCAAAATTTGCTATTGTTTCATCAACCTCCCAACTTTGGTTAGGATTGTTTTATACTAAACCAATAAAAATTGTGTTTTTTTAGACAACCTAAGAAAACTATTTAAACAAAACTGACATTCAATATTCTTCGCTGGGTTGCGATAAATCACGGAAAAACTGACTCGTGCAAAACTTGCCCCGGCAAAATGAAAAGTATCTGAAAACAAAGTAAATGAAAAAATGTTAAACCAATCTCGTTGGGACGGTATGCTCGCCTCGACCTTTTTCTGCTTTTGCTGTTGAGAACCCACCCTCTTTGCAGTTATTTTTTTCAATTTGTACATTCATTTTACGCTGGCGCTGCGTGTTTTTGATGTTTGTTGTTCTATCCTTTGTTTCTGTAAATCGCGTATGCTTCATATACGCATGCGTTATTCTTTGCTTATTTAACTTGCGTATTACATTTTTAATATGCCAATTACACCAATTTTAAACTACAATTATTTAATAAGCTTCTAAATTTGCTGTTAATTACGGCAAGTAATAAAAATATTTTTTTTTCTTTTTTTTTTTAATTTTTCTGTTCTAAATGTAAATTACAGTAACAGAAATATAATGATTGAATCGAGGAATACCTCTAAATGCAAACATAAAATACTACTCTCATAAATATTAAAATTACTCCCAGTATCTCATATATAGCAAATTTAATCTGATCATGCAGAAGATTTGTCATACATCTAACAGGATTCGCAGAATATGAGCAAGCTACCACTACCTATGTCTATGTACGCGTATGCAGATTGCAGGCATGCGTCGCTGTCGTTCATTTATTTCGTTCAGACGCTGACGGCGTTGATTTACAACTCGGCAACGTGCGCGCATCTTTGATATCCTTGATAGTCGGATATCTAACAAGAACACGTAGTCGTTGTATTTCAACGCGTTTGCAGATATTCAACGAATGCAAGAAACCAGACCACTGCAGAAATCGAATGTGTTCGTATTCCGGACGCACAACCCTCGGCTGACAGATCAATTGCAATTTTAATTAAGTGCTTCGAATCGAACTGTGAGAAAATGCAATTTTCTAGAGCTTAACTGCTTTGGAACACAGGCTAATCGAAGATTAATAAAAGAAAGCGCAGAAGAAAATGCGATCACTTCAAAGATAATATTTTCTTTCCGGGTTACGCAAACATCTAATATATCAAAATATAGATGTCGTTAGTAATTCATATTTATACGTCGCACGAGTTGCATACGAGTAGATGTTATGCATGCGTGATCCTGCACCAGCCGTGCACTTTTACGGCACTTAGTAAGCTTTTAACGTTTTTCTATCGTTGGCCTCCATACGCCACCTATAAAACAAACCCATTATCGCGGCTTCCAGCGGGGTTAGTGCCATCGACACATCCAGTCCGACATTTACATAGCACACAGCGCCATCTGGTGCTTTTATCTAGCGACGTAATCGGCAAACAATGTGTAGTTAACATCCGTAACGACTAAAGACCCACCACACGACACGAGCTTAGTTATGGTTTCACTCTTTTGTGTCCGGCGAGAAATGAGCCGCTTATTTTGAAAGTGACCTAACTCCGTTTTTCAATTTTTTGCCGGTTACCATGGTTACATGTACAACTTCATGTTATTTATCAGTGACGCACTTCAGATTGCTTATATTCAGAGAAAATACGGTACATTTTTTACACATAGGTTTTCCGAATTAATTGAATAACTGACCCGTGTGGTTTGAAAGTGGCCTAACTCCATTTATAGTTACATCAAGGTATTTACTATTGATAATGTCGGAAAGCAGCGATGAAGGTAATTTCAATTAATTAGTATTTACAAGTCCACCTCATTTTTGGGACAATTGCGTTAGTTAATTAACCTGTACGTTTAATTAATATAAAACTTAAAATTTAATATTAAATTATAGAAATTATTGCAAGCATGAGGAAGAACCGAAGAAGACCACTTAGTTCAGATAGTGAAAAAGAAATAGTAATTAATAATTTAAAAAAAGCGAATAAGAAAAAGAGTTATAAAATAATATTCCTCGTCAGAGGATGAAGATTCAAATAACAATGGAGAAAAGATTGATGCACCATATATCCAAAAAGTGCGAAAGATAAAACGGAATTCAGGAAAAGATATTGCAGTTAAACCGGAAGTATTGTTCATGAAAAAATTTCGAACCAAAGATTGTGGTTGTCGGAATGCGTGCACAAAAATTATAATGAAGAAGAAAGAAAAATATTTTTGAGAAGTTTTGGGGTTTAGCAGATTTTAACAAACAAAATGTATTACTTCACGAAGCTGCCTGTGAAACGAAGACGTTTTTTTCTTCAATTTGAAACATCTTAAATTATGTTGAATGGACTTGGGCATCTTCAAATTTTATAATGAATCTGGCTGTTAATTTTGAAAGTGGCCCAACTCCATTCTTGATAAGGAAACACACGTTATTTACTTAATAATTGCCACTACTTTAACAGGAACAGTAAATTTAACATCCTAAGATACGCTTAAGCAGTATGACTCCTTTGTATCTTATACGTATATTTTTAAATTCATTGAAACGCAAAACTTTCAATATCTCGATTTGAAGATAAATGGAGTTAGGCCACTTTCAAAATAAGCGGCTCAAATATGCCGGAGGTTTTATTATACTAGTTTATCTAAAGAGAAACCTGTAAATTTTGATAATTTCAGTTTTTATTTTTAACTTTCCGTATCAATCTTCGTAAATCTTCAACTTTTTTAATTCGTTGTGTTGGCTATGAATGTTTTCATAACAAATCAAAAAGTTATACACCGCAATGCAAGTGTTTGAATTGCAAAATGGCGTAATGCGCTATGTGAAACGCGTTACGCAAAGATAAAGTTGAGAATGGAAGGCTATAAGCCGCTTAAAACTTGCATTTTCAACTTTTCGTTGCGCTTTCTGAATTGTAATGACCCACGTTCGCAATAATACGAAATATAAACTTTTTTGCCTACCGGTACAAGAATTTTACGCTTCCGTAAAATAGATAATGGCGTCGCTTTCAATTCATAACCTAAAAAGCTAAATTTTTCTTATTTTTCAACGCGGTATTTTTATCTCAGTAATAAATTTCTAAGGAATACTTTTCATATTTTTTGACACCTTGAATGTGATAGCTTTTACGCCACTGATTGCACGCTAATGGATATCTCCATTGATGTGCATTTAGAAGACGTCTTCGTGACTTTATCGGATATGCACCCGCCACGTCGCGGTCCACGTTGATGAACGTCATCGTGACAAACACAAATTGCCTGCAAGCGCCGCGGAAACTTATTCAAAGCATAGCGAAGCGGAAAGATAAAAGCTTCCAGCAAAAGCTTGGCTTAGAATTAGATTAGAGCAGCTAAGACATTAATAAAAGATAGCTCAACAAAGAACGAAACCAGGTTTTTGTACGAAACCGCTCTCTGTCTATCTCTCGAGTCTTTTCAAAGCACTTCTCAAGAGCTTTCGAAAATAAGATGTTTTTTATAAGCGCTTGCTGCGATTGATTTACACGCCAATAATGTTTTGCTTTTTCACGCTACAAGATTTGGAGGAGGGTGTTACCGATACTCTCAAGGGAAGAATTCATAAAGTATTCATTTGTGTTTCACGCCTGAAAGCATACACACACTGGCGATGTAAATAATGCACGTCCTACGAAAGTGCCGAGAGGGATTAAGACCAAAGATTTTTGCTCGCAATAAACAAAACCCTGTTGCGGTTGTGGATTTATGTGATATTTAAGCAATGTCGATAAAGTAGAGCTCCCGGAAATAAGCGTGTTTGAGTAATTTCGGTTAAACAAGCGTCACTTACCTAGCATACCGATGGGAAATTGATTTGGCGCTTGAAGGGGATTCTCGATTACGCTCTGCGTCACCACCCACACGTAGTTTTCGCCGGTGAGCTTAAAATCCCTGGCGGCGGTGAGAATGTCGATGGCCTCCTCACGTGTGCAGTACAGCAACATCACTCTCGCCTCGCTGTCGACCAACGCAGCCAGGTCGCCGTTCTTCGCCACCAGCACCGCGTTTAGAATCGTAAATTTAAAACGATCCTGAAACAAATACAGCATTAAGTATTTTCGTTTGCTTTACATGCGGGATGTGCCCGAATGCTGGGCGTCTGACATTTTTGAAATAACTCGGATGTCTTGGATGTTAGAAGGGACCAGTCAAGCGGAATTTGAATTCATGGCGCGGGTGCATTCTGCACGTTCTCAGCATATTTTTACCCCGAAAAAAGGTTTTCTACGTTAAACTGCGGTGCAAGGACCCTCAAATGGTCATATTTTACGATCAACCAGTCAAAACTAGTCGATTTAATCGCGTAAAAGCTTTTCAAGCGCAATGTCAGCAAAAAATTATTTACAGAGCTCTGCAATGTCGGTAAACAAACATATTCTATTAGTACCATGGCAGTAATACCAGCAATTGTGGTTGTTTGCATGACTGTGAAATATTAGACCAAAATGTGTTGTTGGCATACGAATAATTTACGAAATCATCAACGGGTGCATTAGAAATTGAAATGGTCCAAACACGCGCGATTGTTTGGCATTGCGTGCATTAGACGCGGATTTATTCAACATCCATCCATTACCGCCATTGTCAGCTCGTTATTTTATGATGAGAATGTGTTCTCACGTCGAACGCGACCGAGAATCGTTCGGAAATGGTTCAATCATCATAATAACGCGAACAGATCAAACCTGCCAACATAGAGTTCATCATTTGCGGTTTTATTATTCTTAGCGTAATCGATTTGCGATGTTTCCCCATTTCCTTCTATTCTATTTTTTTCTTTTTTACTTCGCGATTATTAATAGTAGTTTCATGTTAATAGCCTTAATGTATGAATGATTTGCCGTCAAATAAATGTCAGTAATCTAGCTTTTCGTGAAAGTATTTGTTTTCAACTTTTTTGATGTTTTCTGACGTTTAAAAATGCCCTTAATGCCCCCACAATGAAGAAAGCAGTAGCCGAATCTTAGAATAAGGTTTATAGATGTGATGCCGCAGTAAGCTTACTCACTCTTGGGCCTTAGCCTCTTCTTTTCTTACACCAGCCGTGATAAATCATTCGATTACATTCGCACCGCCGATTTATAACAAAAACCCGGCGGACAATGATCTCGTCTTGTCTTCTCCCAAACTAATCCACCAAGACATTCTATAAAACAATTCATTCGCACTAAATTCGAACCCAGTGTTAAACTTAAGCGATCATTGAGCTAAAAGTGTTTTGTGATTAGGTTTATTTAGTCGGTAGTCAAATTACGCTGAATTGTTTGCAGTTGGGAGATAATGACAAAATCACTGATCAAGCGGTTGTTGGAACCGGGAAGTCTCCAATTGCATTTCCCATTTCGACATCTTCATCATGAAAATGGGCGTTGGCAGCATCACCCGCGGGGTTTGAATCGTGGATCGGATTATCGCATAATTCGCGGCGGCGCTCACACGACCCGATTTCGGCGATCGAAAAGGTCGTTATTCTCCATGCGCATTGCGGGCTGGTGGCGCACGAGCACATACTCCAACATAACCTCACCATGCAAACACGCTGTAGTAACTCACGGATTTGGATTTATTGAACGGATTATCGTCGAAATTATTTGCGCATCGATTCGACGCAAACTTCTCAAGAGAGACGTGGGTAATTTAAACTTTACGAATTTCTTTTCCGAACGAAAATGAAGTATTTTACTGCGCCACCTATCGATCATTATTGGAACTACTCGATAAAAACTCATCAATTTTTTGCTAGTGCCATTTAAAATGTGTTAGATTACTTTTTTGCGCGTGTAATTTATTGTCGTCGCAGGAAAAACGATTCCGGACCGGCGAAAAATAGAAAACTTTCGATAACTCTTTTTCGTCTCTCGACGCGCGTTTTTGTGTACATTTTACGCGAGCGGCTTAGATTAAATTTCCTTTACGTAAAGTTTTCCAATTAATCTCGCGCCTTTCCAACGCCGAGACTTTTTGCGCAGACATTCGGCCTTCATTTTTTTTACTATCTTGTTACTTGTTACGCTTCGCAATCCGAGCATCTGATCAAGAAGATTATGCCATAATCTTCAACGCTGGGGTTCGTAAAGCGAGTGTTTTGTGTTTTCTACGTGATTAATCGTTGTTTCTGTACGTGACACCGTGACATGAAGATAGTGTGCATTTGCGCGTGTTTTTTGTTTCTCGCAAGGGATATTACAGTGCACGATGCACCCTCTAGGCGTTTACATAAGTCCGAGTGGTCGGGCGTGGTCGTGCATGAGCTAGCAATGTACTGTAGGTACTTTGGGTTGCCTAATCTCGGTGGAAAATTGCAGCGCGCTACAATGGCGTCGAAATACGTGCAAAATTGCACGAAATGAAAGGAAATTGTTGCCTGGCGTGCAGTAACAAACATACTATTAAAGCGCTTAGTGTTTTAATATAATCACAACCTTTTCTCAGAATTGTAGAGTAATTCATAGCGTCTTTTTTTTTTCTCTTTACAGAAAAGTCTGTAAACTAGTGAGTTTTCGAAAAGATTTCCATCTTAATAAAATAAAGAATTTACTTCTTCTTTTGGAGTATCCTTTCAAAGTGTCCTTTCTCGTAAATTCTCACTATAACCTTACATTTCGCACGGGGCCACACAATTTCTTCTTTGTGCGCGCTCTATTTACCGGCCGAAAGTTTTCCACTTAGCTGGTCGCAGCGTGTCGCTCAAAGACTCCAAGAAGACGAAGGGAAAGGAAAAACTATGTTCGTAAGCGGACAGGACACATCTTTCGCACTTAGAAAGGTGTCTCGTTCCGGGGCGCAGGCAAGTTTTAACGCAAATTGTAAAGCGAGACTAGGCAAAACAAAAAACAAGGAAGGCTTTATGTTTGCTCATAAAAAAACAGATAGGTATATATTACTTACACCGAAAGTAAGAGATTACGAAATGATGAAAAGAAAAAGTGATAACTGTGTTTTATTTTATTTTTTAAATTTTTGTAAAGTCAAATGCTTTTTTTTAGAATTTATACTTCACTGCCTAAGCAATAAATTACAAATTTTCTTCCATGCTTAAAACAATCCATTTAACTCTAAAAATAAATGTAAATACATAATCGAACCACTTTAGTCGCGTTTTACGTTTTATCTCCTCGGTTAAAAATTGATTCACTTTGGATGATTTATGATCCAATCCGAAAAATTAATTTAAAGCCTTCGCTGTCGAGAAAAGGGATTGGGTGGAATATGTACGGTAACGTTTTGATTCCCAAATTGCATGTCGCGTGCGCAATGATGAAGTGTCTGCCATGACATCCTGGCCAATGATGGCAATATGCCATGTCGTCTTCGCGTGCAATTTCGGTATAACCTCCTTGTTCGAGGAGGACTAGCGCTAGTTTTCTCTTTGCCTCGTTTTCGCCGGCAGCGCAGCGTTTTGCGCCGAGTTACTCTATTACTGCAGATATGGAAAATTGAATTCCCATTCCAGTGCGCTTCGGATCGATGCTGGTACGAGTTGTGCCAATACCAAAACGCAGCAGAGGTAAAGTAAAACAAGAGCATGAGTACGAGTAGAGTGGAAAGAGTTTTGGCTATGTCTGTGGCTGGTTTGTAGAATATATATTTAGAAAGAGGACAAAAAGAAAACTGCCAAATTCACTCTTCTTTACCAGGACTTTTCAAGTACTTGCTGTGTGTGTTCCGAAGTGTAATAGATAACCTTGATAATAGTCTCTCACTTGAAGTATTTTGATTGTAAATTTTGTCTGTTATTTTTTCTCTTTGCATTTTTAAATAATTGTTTACTTCTTGCTACAAGATTATTTAATTTCAAAAGGTGTTTACGCGCGTCACAGGTCTCTCATTGGAATAATATTCGCATCTTGCTGAATGAGTCGTCAAATTGCAGGACTAATGCGAATAATGAGAATAACGAGCGTCTTCAAAGTGTCGGCGTGTTTTCATTTTCCCGTTTAATAAGCCCTTCTTCCTCCCCAAGGTGATGCGCAATTTATTCGTCACAAACAACTTCAATTTTTATCCAAATTAATGTGCGTCATTCGGTGAAATGCACAAAATTTAAAATTTATTTATTAAAAATAAAAACTACTTGCCAAAGCAACGATAAAAACTTAATTGTACACCGAGGAGAAATTCAAGAATAGGACACACATATAGACGGACTGTTCGATGTTCGTCCTGCGGATGAGTGGGACGACATAAAGCGCAAACATTGCCGGTATGTGGACGCGGTGTGCTCGAGGGCGAAAGAAAATGATAAAAAGCAGCAAACAAAATGCGGCCGAAGAGACGACCGATGTTGCGCGCCAAGGGAGCACTTTGTGGCAGGAGCTGCAGGAGCACCAGGAACGTCCGCGTTTATTTAGGTAATTTTCCCAACTGCTGCCAGGACAAACCGACGCAAACCAGGCAAATCCACAAAAACACAAAAAGGGGCAGAAAACAAACTGACGTCATACTAAAACTTCGACTTTTCTATCCGCTATATTAAAATAATTTCCAAGCATGGCGTAACGCACTGTTTTGTACGTTCTTATGCGATATAATTACACAATTATGATAATATTGTGCTGTTAACGTCAATATTGTATAGTCTAATAATAGGAGGAGCGCAACTTGGCTCTTCGTCGTGGAAGTTTAATTAAATCGGAGGCTTTTCTCGCTCGGCGCGCCGCCAGAGAAAATGGGAAGCCGGTCCTCGCAGGACGACACAATGGCACGCAACAACGAAAATATAATTACCAGCAGCAAAGGCTGCTGCGCCTGTCAAGGACGACAATGTGAAAAACGCGAAACAGATGAACTAACCCAACGAAACAAATTGCAAATTACATTAGGATCTAATAGGTACGGACTGTACACACAACCTCTGGCTAAAAATATGTACATAATTTAAAAGTTGCATTAAAAAAATATTATCCAAGATTAAAATTATTAAAATTCATTTTCTTTGCGTCTAGACAGAAAAAAATAACTAAAATGTTATTTTAACTAAAAATGTTACAACAAATTGTTTGTTGTTAGCAATGTTATCACATCAACACTGCATGAATTAACAAAATCATCAAAGTTCAGCAAATTGATGAATTCATTGATTAATTATTTTATATTTCCAGTTTCAAATTAAATAAAATAAAAGTTAAAATGAAATAAACCAATCCATTGTTTCAATTTACGAAATTGAAATAGACAATCGTGGTATTAATGAAAACGAAAATAAATAAATCCATTGAAATGATATTTCAATAATTGCGTGTTAATGGTCACCATAGCATGGAAAAACAATGTTTACAATTGAAATACAACTAACTTTTGCACCAAAAATGTGCAACATTTCCTGTCGAAATCAATAAGTCCTTGACAGCACAAAATTCGCATCCAGGTCATCCGTGGAGCGTATAAAATTAATATCGGACGCGTTCGAAATTAACTACGCATTGCCTCATTTCCATTGATCATATTTTTATTCATTGTGAACGAATAACGCTTGTTCAACTCACTGAGCTTGCCCATCGTTATAATTTACAAACGTTTATTAAGTAAATATAATTCTATACTCGTATTTTGTTCGTGTTCAGTGCGTTCAATTTCAGATCCATGTTATTGCATGCAAACATTGTTCGTATTTGTTGAGTTAACATCATATTCTGAGAGCACTAGCATTAAGAAGCTGACATGTATTTTGTGTTCTAATATTTGGCGAGATGTGAATTGTGCGTGTAAAGTGCCTAACGCTAGAATGCATAAAATGCAAATACTGCTTGACGTCGAGAATGGCGCGATATTTTTCAAGCACTTTGCACACATTTCACGAATTTCCACTGAACATATTTTTTTACAACACACAACAACGTCTAGTTTTCCAAGGGTTTATACTTGAGGTAGGTATGTTTAGATTTGAAATGCATTTTAACAAAACATTTTCCATGTGAATATTTATATTTGTATTTGACATAACCTAGTTTTATGTATTTATTTATGCATTTATGCCAACAGCTGTCATTTGTCGTACTATTTCAATCATGTTCTTTGATGAATGATTTTTTCATGATCACGTTTGTACCGCGAGAGTAAAGTGCGCTCAAGCGCGAAAAAGAATGATTTGCTTTTCCGGTTTTCCGCTCTTCACTGATTTATTCTGCTTGGAGTCACAGTGCTTACTGCAACTCGGTGAAGAGATGAAAAGAAGCATGGTGTAGGGAACGATTGAAAGCATCAAACAGAAACGTTTGACTGCATGGAAACCCGTCCGCAAATCAATAAACAAAATGTGTGGTTGAGTTGACTATAAATATTTAGAAATAATTTCGCTGTTTTTGCTTGTTATTCCGGTTTGCGGCTATAATTGGAGTTTTGAATAACAGTAAAATTCATAAAAACAAGTTATGGATTACATTTTCGAAAAGAAGTGGATTTATGTCGTAAAATTTAACTATAAATAAACTTCTTAAAATTTGACGACTTTCATCGTTTAATACCTAACATAAAATTTCTTGAAAATATTAAGATCATGATACAACTCTGATGTTTCCAAGCCATTTCACCACCCCCAACATTATTCACTATTTATTTGGCCCACGACGAAGAAAGCCACAACTATTGTATTCGCGCTCGGCGCGAGATGCGGCTACAATGTGAATTTCCCTTCGCCGCCTCCGTCCGCGGGGTACTTTCACCCCGACCGCGATATATTTCATCCGGCGCTTTTATGCACAGCGCACGCACCGCAAAATCATAACTCATTTTGCGCACTCAGTGCGATAGGAAAATTGAGTTATCGCACTTTCATTTCGCTTTTAATGTTTTCGCACACATGTTAAACATTGGCCACACTTTAACCGACATAAAATAAAGCCAGAGATACTAAATATAATATATACCTGCATTGCTGAAACGCGTTCACGCACAGCTTGGATGAAGTCATCGTGACCGGCGATGAGGCTTGTAACGACGGAGAATTGATGCCATTTGTAGCGTTCTAAGATGCTCAACATGGCTGCGGTTTGATGTTCTAAAGATGGCGCTAGTTGCAGTTGCAGTGAAGATTGAGAAGCGCGTCTTTCCAGACCGGAATTATCAGCGTTCCACGCTATCACCGGTATGCCTAGGTAACCTGCCAATTGCAGGAAGTACTGAGCAGATGCAGTGCTGCGTCCGTATTGTTCGTAGTTCATCAGGTACAAGATGGCGGACACGTTGAAGGATAGAAACTCTTGGCAGAGCGATTTTAGAATTGCTGAAACAATAAAAGTACAATATTAACATTGGAAATTTAAACCAAGTCGAGTTAATAAAACTGATTTAGATCGTAAAACTTTTCGAATATACTCGGAAAAACTTTTACTCCAACCTAACCTGAAAAGCTTTCGTAAATGTAAGAATAAAACATCCTTCCGGGAGTACTAGAACAGATCCTCGCTTCAACCACCCAAGGGAATCGAGGAAAATGTGGTGATGTCGCATATGCGGTACGCAAATTGCGAATGTATCGAAGCCGACAATTTCGCCAAAAGTAGTGCATGAGAGAACAAAGATGTGCTCGCCGGAGGCAGCAGCTTGAACAAAGAGAAACACCAATGACGTCGGCGACTCTGCCTTGTCTCTAGACGCTTTCCTTTTTCCTTCTGTGGACCAGCACCGGGATCAAATGCAAATTAGGCTCAGGGTTCGCATTTCGTACACGGCGACGCATCAGCACGATCAGCAGAAGTAAAGGTAGACACCTTAGACACCAATAGGTTAGAAAAGGGACGTTCGGCTGGTTTGGCATTTAGATTTCGAGGGCTTACTCAAAGTCGGGAACATGTTTCCGACGTGTGGGGATATTACATCGGCTTTTGGTGCTTTTGATCGTCTTCAAAGTGTCGATATCAATCAGGTTATAATCAACATGTTATTGGATTATGAACGCAAAACATATTCTCAGCGAAATTTGTTACCTAACATATGAAAGATTCATATTGAAACATTTTTTTCATTAGTCCCAAGTGTACACGAACACAAATTACCCTCGATTACCGGTCGTCGATGGTGCAATATGAAAATATGGAAAATTGCAAATTTCCGGGATTCGCAATTGCCTCTGATGATCCAATTTCCCGTTTGGTTAGAAGTTATCGTTAGTATTTCCTTTAATATTAACCAAACCAAATATTCTTTAACATTTCTATCCTCAAAACATTAATTCTTTCACCCTGGAAGAAAATTCTAACCTCACTTTTTTATGTATTTCTACGTAAATACTAAAAAAGATTCAAATAAAAAATAGGTGAATTTACCTATATGATAAAAAGCGAAGATCTAAAATGTTGAAATAAAGATACCTGCAGGATGTGTGCGGTTGAACATGAGTCGATAGGAGGGCGCAATAGTGCAAGAAAATTATAACGTGAATAAAAGTTTTACGAGCCATAAAGACAACTCTCCATGATGTGAGCACTATGTATCCGTTCCACCTAGTTGTCGTAGTTTATTCAGCAGACATTTTTATCTACGAGTACTCTATCCACCAGTCATCTACTCTGACCTTCATATAAAAATATTTATAGTCAATTTACTTATAATACAGGTTTTTACTAAGGTTGCACGTGGATAGAAACCTTTGAAACCCTTATAAGTTTACAATAACAAACATTTGTAAACAAATACCACTAAAGTGATACGGTACGATTATTATCGGTATATCGGTATTTTCATTCAAACATTATCGGAGGACACCGTATCTGCCTCAAAATACCAGTTTCCCTAATTACCGGTGATACCGGTATTGAATTTAAAATTCATAGGCCTAGTACAAATATTAATAAACATTAGTGGTCAAATACCGGTATTTTTCCACCACAAAATTTATACCGGTATTTTATTTGCAGTTTCGTATTTTAAATGTGAAAAGAGTAAAAAAGCTTGTATGCTTGAAAAGTTGTAAAAAGCTTAATAACTCCTCAAATAGAGATAACTAAATACTGATAGTAAAATAAAAACTACGTCGCGTCTCTAAAATATAATACATCAGAATTTAAACAAATAAAATATAAAATCAGCTTTGAATAACGATCGTTAAACGCAGAGTAATTCAACAAAAACGTCCCGTGTCACACATATTCCACCCCCCATAGATAGTTAAATTACCCTCGACTGGATAGCAAAGTTTAATTTTACTTCCGAGCCGTCAAAGCGATTTTATTGCACCGCAGAGAATAGCACCCGGAATAATCCAACATATTCCCTCTTTAACCTGACATAAAACTGCGCCAAGTCAATAAATTCATTTCTAAAATAAACACAACTAAATTGTTAAATCAAATTCCCGCAAATATTAGTTTAATATTAATTTTAATCACGAGATGTTTGCGAATAGTTTCGAAATCGATCCGTACCTCCGCGTTAATTCACCAGCGTACTAATCCTGTAATTAAATTTAGATTGCAACACGAGCTAAGGCGTCGCAGAACACGATACATAACAAGCCCTATCCGTAACGTCTTGAAGACGCACACCTGCTGCGCGTGCATATTCACAACATTCCCATCACTCCTCCCGGCAATAATCAATCAATGCCACGCGAAATTAGATAACGCGTGTTTAATTAGCCGTCACATTGCGAAACCTAAACATGCGACTATTTATCATCAACAAATCTACATGAATATGAAAATACGTAAATATTATTGTTATGTTGGTTGCATACATTGTTCTATTGTACCTATTTACTTTTTGGTCAGAGAAATTTTTATCAATTTTTTAAAATCAGCTAAAATAGCGATAGACGGGAGATACATATTGATCCGGTCTGAGTTGATTGATTAATCGGCTTGCGTTGTGCCGTCATCACTCACTTAACCTCAAACAACGTCTATCCGCTTGGACGTGGGCGGACATGAAGCGATTCATCACCGAACTTCATTTATTCACTGTGTTTACCGAACTATCAGTAAACTGACGTTGAATTCGGAGTATTTGCAAAATAAAGTATTTATTATTTTAATGATTTGAATTTTATACTGTTTTACTGCCTAGGGCGTAAAATGATGTTTTTTTTTATGATTTTGCTTCAAAACATGTCGAAAAAAGATACAAATAAATGTATACAAATTGGACAACATTAGTATACATCACATCTACCCTTATATTCCCATAAGTAGGTCCTAGACATGAAAATATCAAAAAGTCAAGAAACTCGCAGAAACATCACGCACATAACTCAAATCTAAACATCAGGAAAACTACGTGTAGAAGAAAGACGCCGAGTCAAGAAGACAAAAAACAAACTTGACAACGCTCGTGTTTCGAAAGCTCGCAAAGCCGCGAGAGGTTGTTAGGCGTTGTTAGACGTTACGGCAAAATATGTCCCCGACGTGCGGCATCGATGCGAGATAAATACAATACAAAGCCACCGTGAAACGCGCCATAAACTTCTGAAAACTATCTCGGAATAGTATAATGTTTTGAAACATAAAGAAAATTATATATTTTTCTATATTTTTATTTTTTGTCTGAAGTAAACTTAACTCTAAGAAAACATAATTAAAATTGGTACTTTTAACGGAATTACTTTTGTGCTCGATGGAGGCTTTTGTTTACTGTGTTATTGTTGAAAATCATAACAGTAATAATAATAATTCGCCAGCTCACGGCGAGAACTTATGGATCGGGCGCGGCGCCAAAATTGCCCGCCGGGCTGTTGCGAAGGATAACTAAGGATAACGGCTCTTTGCTATCCTTTTAGACTCGCACGTGCGTGCTGTACAAAGGCACAACTCGCCATAAATCTGTTTAAATGTGTTTCAGAAACAACACAAGCGTTTATTGTTAGTTTAATTATTCATGTGACTTGTTTTTAATATAAGAAAAAAATGAATATATGAAAAGCAGTTTTGTGTTGTAGGACAAAGTGCTTTATTTTTGTGTATTCGTTGATGTCTTAACAAGGTTTTGTATTTTTCCTTTATTTGAAATTCTGAGCGCATAATATTTGAATTTCAATCTGTCTCATACATTCTTTGATGAAATTTCCTTTAGTTTTGCAACCCTTCCGCGTCTTTTTGCGTTTGTATTTTCATTTATTCGACAACAATCTTCCCTGACCTGCATAAAACACAATACAGATCTTTCTCGTGCTTATTTGCACTGAAACTTTTCAGATCTTCAATTTTTAAAATTAATTAATTCAGTGGGTAGAAGTTTGCAGTGAAATAATTACTCATCATTAAAAGTGTAGAACTCGTTTTCGTAATGTTGCTCGCTTCAAGGCTGCAACTTAAATAAAAGTTCTAGAGCACACATTCTGCAGTGGAAGTTCATATTTCGAATTTATGCATTCACCAGTGCTTTATGCTGTATTTCGTCAGAGGGAAGCTTATTCCTGCTCCGCGGCAAACTTCCGGGTTTGCAGTTTTCATAAATCAAGCGCTTGGTTTGTTGATAATAAAATTATGCCTGAAGCGTTATAATTTTCAAAATTTCAATTAAAATTTGATTATTTTGAAAAAAGCAATGTTTAAATTGCGGTAAAAGTACCAAACTCAAATTTACAAATAAAAAATTTGATTTTAATTTTGATTCATGCTTAATAACCATACTTATTGTTTATTTGCCAAGACCAAACATTTTTGTTTTTATTTTTTACCATAAACCGACAATCACAGGAGAAATTAGAATCAAATGAGCAACACAAAAATTAAACACCGATTGCGTACAACGGCAGGTACGGTACTAAAAACGAGAAAAAACGCGGCGCTGGCAGAAAAAAAACGAAATACCAAAACAAATATCGCTTGGAGCTATATGCTCGTTACACGAGAAAAACGTGGAATAAATTGGCAGAACACTGAGCAGTCCCTCGATGAAGAACTGCCGCTGCTGACGTTTTAAAATGCAAGCGTTGGAAATGTTCTTTAATTGAGTTTAATTACTCCAAACACATAGTAAACAATAAAAATGAGCGAAAGTAAAAAAAATGTGCTTTTTAATTGTATTTTTCGCATTTAGAAATTAACTGTCTTTAAAATTATTTTCCAACAGATTTACCACTGTAATTTAACACTTATATGTCTAAATTACTAAATAATGATAATCTGCACGATTTACGCCTTGCAAATCATTCACGCTGACCGAAAACACAAAAGAATTAGAAGAATTGAATAGTGAAAGCAGCTGGTCAAAATCAGCATGCAAATTTGATGCAAATTACTAATTGGAAGAGGCACTGGCATCGCGGTGCGAATTATTGCGTTAGAA